CGAGTATGGCAGGTGCACGGGTGAGTTTTTTTAAAAAAAATATATAAGCAATAACGGTCTTAAAACAGCCTCACATGCACAAGATCTCGTCGAGTTCTGCCATACTCTGCAGATGGGATAACAAACATAGCTTCTTTCTCTTGCTGCTTTTTCCCTTGTGCTTCTGGGGCTTATTCTGATGGTCACTCAAACTAAAGAAGCTGATAGGTCCGTTAAAGAATGGAACGAACTTCCCGAAACAATTATTGAAGCTGCCAACACAGAGGCCTTCACACTTGCCTTGAGGGCCCAGGCCAGGCCCCATTAAACATTTGAACATTTTTTATTTTTATATCACCAGCACAAATTCACCACACTGTTTTTTAGCGCACACAGCTCAAGCACAGCACATACCTGCTGAACATGGGCTGCACTGCCCTTTGCAGATCAGACATTTAGATTTAGATTTAGAAAAGCTACAATCACTGAATCTATCCTCCTCACCCCTTTCCTCCTTGATGGTTTGGGTTTTTGCACTGTCTTCGTTGTTTTGTGGCCCTTGTGGAGCCCCACTGCCATTTCCAAGTTGCGAGCCATTTTTGGTTCCTAAAATAGCACAGCATTTGCAAACAGTTTAAGCATTAGTATGTTTCATAAGCATCAAACAAGCTCAAAAATGGCCATAGTATATAAAGCCGACATACAAGTGTTATTATATAGGGAGGAAAACAACGTCTAGTTCCGGGAATACGGAGAAAAAACTTTATGTAAAGAGCAAAAAAGGTGTTTTTAATAAATTTTGTATGTTGACGTTGGAAAATATCGGAGGATGACTGAGATGCAACACGATGAATTACCTTTGTCGAAGAACACAACTGTGGCCGAACGAGAGAGAGTGAAGAGGATGAATAAACAGTCACGAATAATTTTGACAGCGGCATATTGTAACAGATATGCGCGATGACCAGTGCGCGGAAGAGGTACAATCGCTTAAGGAAGACTGGAAACGAAAAAGCGACGTGGCTTTGGAAAAATTAAAAGTTTGTAGGTTCTGGCTCCCTAATTCGACTTAAAACATGGAATCTCCTCTTCAAAGAGCGGCGGAGGTAAGCAAGGAGCATCCAAAACCTGATATTACGTTTTCCTATGGAACGGCTGGATTCCGCATGCGAGCAGACCATCTCGACTCTGTTATGTACCGAATGGGTCTTCTCGCTGTTCTTCGCTCGAAGGCAAAAGAAGGAAAAGTTATCGGCGTGGTTGTTACTGCTTCGCATAACCCTGTTCACGACAATGGAGTCAAGCTGGTGGATCCTCTTGGTGAAATGCTTCAGCCATCATGGGAGAAGCACGCATCGGAGCTAGCAAACGCGGAAGATATTGTCGAGGTTCTGAGGGGGGTGGTGGAAGAGCACAGCATCGATTGGAACGTTCCTGCGAAGGTTTTTATCGCTCGAGACACGAGACCTAGCGGAGTGGAATTTGTGAAGGCTTTGTTGGATGGAGTACAAGCTTTGGGTGGATCTGGTCGGGATTATGGTGAGAGCTTCTTGTTGTCTTGCAAAGAGAACGCACCCCTCCCCCGCCCCTTTTGATAATGAGGCATGAATAGTCTAGCAACGTGAATAGGCCTCTCCCCTTCCGTGATAAAATACAAGTGACACAGTTAAAGTAGATAGATCGATAGACACTTAATCTAACCATGGTAGTTTTATCAGCTTCCGTCGCTGGTTTATGCATCAGTCAATTGCAATTCCAGCTGCGCCCAGCTTCCACCCCCCCTTCCCTGGGCAACTGCGGTGCATTTGCGCGCCTTGTCAGTCCCGGGGGTGGGGCCTTGACACACAAGTGGTTAGCTATAAAACATGGAAAATTTCGGAGGTAACGATCTTCAGTTTGTGGCAGATTGGCTTGTCCAGCAAGGGCTAGGAAAAATTTTCGACTTTTTTAAAGGTATGTTTTCTTCATTTTAATATTTTCTTGCTCTTAAAAACCAGAATTTCAAAGCAAATATCAAGATCAGGAGCTTTGATCACATTTCGCAACAAGCCGCATTTGATTCATTCTTTATGGTATTAAAATGCCGGGTTTTGGCAATATTAAAGGTTTGTAAATTTAAAATGAAGAACCATAACATGTATAATTAAAAACGTTTACGCATTTCTCACATCAGGCCGCAATTTTAGTGGTGTTTTGGCGGATGAGTGATTTTTATCATACAAGGATGGATCAAGGATTTTTCTTGGGAGCGGGTGCACCACTAAGGAATGGCGTAACTGACTGGTGACGTAAAGAGCAGCTGGAATTGACTGTAGATGCATTACATAGGAGCCATGCATTAAAATATTAATATAAATATCCATCAGAGTTTTTAGTTTCTAAATGTGAAAAAATATATGTGAAACTAAAAGGGTAAATCTGTGAAAAAAATTCTGCATTGGTACAGCTCAAACCTTTCTTTCCAAGTGGACATCTTTGTTCAGCTGACAATCAGGCATCTACTTACTGGTAATACAGTTATCGATTAAGAAAATTACTGCCAAATAGTAAATTAGAGTGTAATAGAGCGGTTTTCACTTGACTGTCGAAAGGGATTGGTTTTGGTTTTGGTTTTGGTTTTACTACGCCCTTTGGTTGGCTAGTGTATTTACTTTGGATTTGGTTTTACGACAGTCAAGTGAAAACCGCTCTATTGTGTATTAGTCTATGATCTCCATGTATTTCATGGGTTAAGTAAAATCACTCCAATAATCCAGAACATACCCTATTTTATCATGATCATACAAACTCTCCAGACTATGACCTTCACTACATTTCCTCAAAGAATCAGTAAGAGAATCTGATGAAAGATCAAAGCAATTTTCTCTGTTTGATCATTTTATTTATTCCCATAACCTTTTCCCTCGTGTTTCTATGGATATTATTAGGAGAAAACTGATTATGGTCACTTTTGGGACTTTAAGGGGTAATATTGATTCACAAATTAACTGATCACCCTTTTGTGTCAGGTGTTTTAAGCACTCCTCAGTTGCATTACATGGTCAGATGCCAAAACACTGAAGGTGAATATGGTGAAGCAACAGAGGAAGGTTACTATAACAAAATCTCAAATGCCTTCCTGGATCTGAGGTCACTGTGTGGGAACACAGGTGTCCCTGTGATCAAGCTGGATGGTGCAAATGGTGTAGGAGCACTCAAAGTCAAGATGCTGGCCAAACAACTGAAGGGCACTTTGTCGCTTGTAATTTGCAATGATGGTTCAAGTGGAAAGTTAAATGAGAAGTGTGGTGCTGATTACGTGAAGCTTTACCAGTGTGCTCCTGATGGCATGGACATCAACCCAGGTGATCGATGTGTGACATTCGATGGTGATGCTGATAGAGTGTTGTATTTTTACTATGATAAAGATCACAAGTTCCACTTGCTTGATGGGGATAGAATTGCAACCCTTGTAGTTGGATATTTGAAAGAAAAACTGGACAAAACAGGTGTTGTGCTTGATAGAGGCTTGGGAATTGTCCAAACTGCCTATGCCAATGGTAATTCCACATCCTATGCTGAAAGCACCCTTGGAGTGCCTGTGGCATGCACCAAAACAGGTGTGAAGCACGTTCACCACAAAGCTGAAGAATTTGACATTGGGGTATATTTTGAAGCAAATGGCCATGGAACTGCGTTGTTTACAAACGATGTTGTGAGGAAGATGAAGGCTGTTGTCCAAGACACAGATACCAGCACAGAGAGGTCTAAAGCTGCCAAACAAGTCTTAAGCTTGATAGGTTTAGTCAACCAAACTGTTGGTGATGCTATGAGTGACATGCTGGTAGTGGAAAGCATCCTCCATGAAAAAGGCTGGAGTTTGGAAGATTGGGCTGCTGTGTACACAGATCTCCCTAACCGGCAACGCAAAGTCGCTATCAAGAATCGCAATGTCATTGAAACAACAGATGCTGAAAGGAAGGTTACAGCCCCCCAGGGTCTTCAAGATGAAATTGATAAGCTTGTTTCTGGGTACAAGAATGCAAGATCCTTTGTGCGACCATCTGGTACTGAGGATATAGTACGTGTATATGCTGAGGCCGATACGCGAGAAGCTGCTGATTCTTTGGCATTGGCTGTCAGCCAGAAAGTTTATGATTTAGCTGGTGGTATTGGGGATAGGCCATAATAATAATAAATTTTAATTGGAACCTAATTTTTTTTCTATTTTTTCTGTGATGTTAGCTCTGTCATGACCAGACAGGTTGAATATCAAATTATAACAGTTGAGAAATAATTATTGGAGGGTTCTTAATACATGACACTTTAAAAAATTTTTTAGTTATTGAATAATTTTGTTTATTTTTGTGCGATTAGTTTTTTATGAACTTATTGCCTGAAGAATAATAGAAAACAATTAAAATAATGACCCAAAAAAGTTGAATTTTTATAAAATATTTAATTACAAATTCAACTTTGATAAGATTTACTGTGTAATAGTTTCAAAACTTAGATAATACAATGTATAAAAAAATACAATGCATATTTCTGGAGGAACCGTTTTTTTTTCCACTCTTGGCTTCTTTTTCTTTTATTTTTTACTCTTGGCCCTAAATCTGAGCTCGTGAAGTTCTGCGATACTACTCATATTTCTAGTGATATATGTTATGACTGTGCTGAACTCGTCCCTTCGCGTTCGGCAGCTGTCTCATGGCGCTATGTGCTCCCTATTTTCGTGGCTATGGGTCGAGACAGTATGTCGAAAATTATGTCCTGTTCGCAGTTAAGCCTGACTAGTTGCTCAAAGGGTGCTGGATAGTGCTAACCACGGATTAATCTCCACCCCGTGGATAAGACAGTTTGTTATCCGACTTTTGAACAACTGGTCCCAACACCTATTTGATGTTGCTGTTAGTTTGTGCATAAAAGAAACCATTACTTGTACTTATTACGTATACGTTATGAACTTGCCAGCAGCTCAGTTCTGTTCCCACAAAATATTTTTGCCATTTTAAAGTTTGCCTAAAGACAATCATTTCAAGTTTGTTGTAGATTTCGAAAGAAGGGTATTAACATCAAGGTAAACGAAATGTCTTATAAAGTTATAAAATTCAAGGAGTCTCCAACGTAACTTAGGTCTACAAACTCTCACTTTGTCGACCTCGAGGACTGAAAAAGCCTAAAAACCATTGACAGAAATGGAATAAAAACACGACTGCACTTCCTTTTGATGGAACAGTTGCAATTTTATTTCATTTGAACAGAAGAAAGTTTATACTAGAATTACAAGTGTCTCGGGACTACAAGATACTACTAAAACGAAATTTTCATTTTAATGACGAATCCAAGTTTGTCATGGACCCTGAATGACAAGTGCGTTACACGACAATGTGTATGCCAAAAATACCTGAACGACCAATTTCTAGCTTTACGTGGAGCGCACGGTTATTACTGCTGAGTGCTCGCTTCCAAGTCGGTGTCGTGGCTTCTTGTTCCCAGAACTATAGACTAAGATTTCCAATTCAAATCTTCCATAAAATGTTGACTGTCTTTTCATATCGTTCAAAATACTTTTGGCAATTTTTTGCGTAAAGTTCGTTTTCCTAAAAACACTGAGCAAAGTCGACTGTTGATAATTAGCTTGTGCATGATTTTGCTTGAAAACAGGTGCAAAATTCGTCCTTGATTTTTGTCCTTGAACCAGACATCAAAAAGAGTATAAAAAGCATTTATTTACCGTCTGTTTGGACAGAAGGCTGGGGCCCGGGCCCTGAAAGACCGATCACCGGAAACCCAGGATTAAAACTTTACTCCACTATTATAGTATCATATTATTTCGACAAAACTGGATCTTGTAATACAAGGCTCAATGGTATTTTATAATCTCAGGTTTCTGCACAAGGAAACTTTGCTGATAATTCGTCCTATCCTGGGTTAAACTTAATCACCTTTCAAGTAACCGGGTCCTGAAGATTTCAATAAGGGTAGTAGGAAATACAACTGTTTAATTTCCTGGCGTAGTTCTAAGAACTGCCCTTACGAAATAACTCTAAGTTAATATAAATTCTATAGCTAGAATTTTATTGGCTGGTTCCATACTGCATTTTATTGTGGGTAATGTAAACTAAATCGACTCCAGTGTGTTTTTATTTTTATGGTCGACATCTTCCGGTAAATCGTGGGTAAAGACACACGTCTCTGATGTGATCCCTGTTCAGTAACCAAGTCAAGAATCTCTCCAGTCCCAGTCCATAACCTCCGTGGGGACAAGAACCATACTTTCTCTGCAAAAAAAGAGAGACTGTTACCCTTGCCGAGAAAATAAAAGTTAAAGAGAAAACACCCGGCATTTTAGGACCGCACCACTGGTTTCCCCTCGAAATAGGGAGCTTAAGCAACGAGAACGGCAAAACAGCAATAGGTTTACAGGGTCTATCGAGGATTACCCTGCACCTGCTACGCAGGCTAATCTAGGATTTACCGTTTGGGGGAGAAGTCCCGAGCGAGTGGCCGAACGAAAGTCGTCGCCTTGTGTTCACATCCTCCACAAAACGTGAAATTAGGCATTATCACGTCGGCGTGCAGTGACGGCAAAGAAATGTACCACAAATGCACGATGCACGTGCAAAGTTGTTGTTTTGCCAATCTAAACCTATAGAGTGTTTTCACTCACGTGGCCAGCATCTATGCAAATTATTGGAACAAAAGAAAGCATTTGCACAAGAAAAGAGTTCAACTCCCACAGGACTGGTTTTGGACAACAACATGGCTGTCGTTTCATTGTTTTGGGACATCAATATGGCCGCCGTGATGTCATGTGAAAGGTTTTATGCCCTTCTCGTTGACGTCGCCGTCGTCGTTAGTAGGAAGCCTTAGCATCGACGACGGCAACGGCAGCGACAAAGTCACTTTTAAAATGAATTCGCGTTTTTTCAAACTTTGTCGCGTTTATTCCAATTCACTGAAAATGTGAAATCTGGGCGAATTTCCTTGGAGTTGCTTTCTTGGGGACCGGATTCAAGCTTAGAAAGAGAAAGGAAAATTCGTCGTCGTTTGTTTACGTTCTCCATAAATCGTGAAATTAGGCAATTTCACGTCGTAGTCGTGCAGTGACAGCAAAGAAATGTACAAAAAAGTGTGATGCACGTGCCAAGTTGTTGTTTTGCTTATCTAAACCTATTGCTTTTTTTCCGTTCTCGTTGCCGTCGCCGTCGTCGTTGCTAAAGCTCTCTAGTTACCAATGGTGGCATCGACCGTACGAAATGGCAAAGACCGTTTACGAAAGGAAAAATGGGCCCCGGCGATAGACGTCACCAATCGCACGCGGGAAAACAAGTAAACTGTGAATGGTTTAACAGTGTTTTGGTATCGAATTGTTGCACTCTGTGATTGGCTGAAATATCACACGGCACTTCCCTGTAACCAATCCGCGATGGAACCAGAACAATTCTGACCAGGCTGCGTGCGTTTTCCCGCAACTGGCTCCCGCTGCATGCGTTTACTTAGCTCTGATTGGCTTACTAGTTTGTCTACATCCACTATTGATCAATGTTTTTACTGCTAGTAAAAACAGTTATGGAGTGCAGGGGAGATAGATCGAAGGCCAAAACGCTCACGACTTCTGTGATGTGCTTTGCGAAAGTTTCATGTGATAGAAGAACAAAACGCGCGTAATCAGATTACGAGTGATAGAAAGTCCAAACGCACGCGGTTGATCAGATTGCGTACTATGCATTCTATTCATTCTTAGTCAAAGTTCCAAACAACCGCTAGCTAAATACGTTCCGTTCCTACAGACGTTTTACGCTCATGCTTAAAAGCAACCTCTAGGTTAGGATTAAGGGCTCCTCTGGTCGCTCACAATAACTTCCTTAAGTAACAAACACGAACAATGGTTGCTTGATTAAACAAAGACGTAGATTCGTAAACATACCTGGTCAGTGTACCAATAGTAAGGTGTTGGATCGATTCCTTCTCGTTCGTATCCTTGCATCAACTCATCCTGAAATAGCAAGAGCGCAAAACATAATTGAAAAGATGAGAATTAGCACCCTTTCGAAAAGAAAAGGGCTAATGCCCTGAAAATCTACGCCCACTGGCAAATTATTCCAGTCAAATGCACAAAAATTTCCCCACCCCGGGAAGTATATCAAGCAATAACTGAAATCTTTTATTGAAATACGACACTGAACAGTATCAAAAATTTTTAGTCCCGTACGGCATTGTATTCATTTAACCTTATGTCCCATGGATAAGATCATGTATGAGAATGTGCTGTTAGGTTCTTTTGTGAATGGTACCAAATGAAATTTATTTTTAAAAGTCTTAACAAATTTTTCTTGATTACTGACATTATCTACAAACACGGTCACGAAAATAAAACAAACCCAAAATCGTAGAGGTTTTATCTCTCTCATGTTAAAGGTCTCTTGAAAATTAACCCCTCCCCTGTTGGTTTACAACCTGGTGGAGTTTTCCGATTTGAAAGTAAAGTTTTCGTTTACTTTGATACCGCAATGTACAAGATCTTGAAACGTTCAATTGATCCCAGTGCAAGTGGGGCAAAGAAAGATTGAAATACCCCCTCCCAAGGGAGAACAAGATCAGTCAAATACCCCACCCTAGAAACAACAAAGACAATCAAATCCCCACCCCATACCCTGCCTTCCCCCTCCCCCCACCCGCCGGCTTTACATTGTCTGGTTTTAAGACTGGGTTTCAGTCACTGTAGTACTTTAGAATATTAGAGAGCTTTAGATTTGAGGACGAGAACGAGTACGAGATTTAACTTAAAGCTTTTTTATGCGTGTTCTCAAAAAAGGACACCCCGAAAAGCTTTATTTTCCCTTTTTCACCAAAAAAGTTAGTATTATGGGGAATACGAAAGTGGGAATTACAAGGCTGCGCAGGAATTCGGGTCTAAATTCGAACCCAGTTAAATGTCTCGAAGTGTAATTGGGCACAACTGTCAACAGGGATCGAGTCTCAGATGAAACTCTAAAATGGACAATGAACAAGATATTGGCTAAAGAAACAACAAACTTACATAATGCCACATCCTCATTGACCCACCAACAATCTCCCCAACACCAGGCATCAATAGATCGACCTAGAAACAGGGAATCAACGTTTTAGAGTTTGTAATAGTTGCTACAATACAAAGGAGAACGTCTCTCAGTTTGGGACTTAATTGCATTTGACTGCTCGCTGTAACCACCACCAGGGGTATTAGAGAGGTTAAGCATCATGTTAACGTCAGACGGCAAACGCGAATTTGCACCACGTGACCAAGTTTCCCATTTACCTGTCGTTCACTGTTCATTATTTCTACACATAAATTAGCAGTTTCACGTAATTTTTTATCCATAAGAATTGTTTTGAGCCGTTTTCATCTGCTCATTCTCTATTTTGAGAAATTGTCAACTTGAATCTGACGTTTGTCGTTTACGTGAAGCTTGATCTTTTTATTACCACAGCAAAGTTTCCGAAAATCCACTAGCAGCATTTTTTGTCCCATAAGGTTATATGACCGTTTAATTAGTCTATAGCTAAGCACTCAGTGACCAGGATTGGAGATAAATGCTGGCAATAAATTACGTACTACAAAGTGCTTTCTCCTCTACTCATTCTCTGGAAACATTAGCAAATTCATGGCCACGCAACACACTTAACATATTTCTCAGACATATAAAACACAGTCCGATAAAAATCTGAAATAAACTACAGAAATATGGGGCTAAAGTTCTTCCAAAAAAATCGTTCAGTGATTAATCTCCAGTTTTTCCACTCATAGCGGAACAAGATGATACCTCATTTTATTATTCCAGTCAATGAAAAGCTGGCGGTTTCTGAATTTGCCTAAAATTGGGAACAATCTTGCTTTGTTTGAAACCACATGATAAGGTGGCAAAACAATTAGATATATAATATTTTTTCGTAGAATTTGCCTGGAAAGAGTTTACTTCCCAGCAGAGGAAAAAGCTTTTGTTCTAGTCAACCAACATGGCCACCATGACTTCAGCTATAACCCACAATCCACGACAAAAGCAATTTGGAAGGTTATACAACTTAACAGTACAGCGGACTCCCGATAACTCGAACCCTCGCTAACTCGAACCTCGCGCTATAAACTCAAACCAAAGTCGACTTACCTTGGATTTCCTTCATACATTTACTGTAATTTTACCCTCAATAACTCGAACCCTCGATAACTCGAACCTCCCGCAAACTCGAAGTAATTTCTGTTTCCTTCAGATCATTTCTATATAACTTTACCCTTGATAACTCGAACCATGTGTTAAGGTCGCAACAAGTCGGAGAATAAAACATTGTACTGAAGTCCGAAACATTGAATTTATTCCAAAACTACCGTGTCAATTCTCTGTCTTCACTTTTTTGTTACTGCAGTTCAAATTCCTGTCCATACCTGTATGTTAATCAAGCTTTGTTTCTTAACTCCTTTTCAAAAATATTAATCTATATCTCTTGCTGCCCCTAAAGTGAAGTGTGCATGATACTTGCAGTGTGCATGATACTTGCATTCCCCCCCCCCCCCTCCATCAATTTGCTTATTTGCTTATTTCCGGTTATTTGCTTTGACCTCCCGATAACTCGAACTTTTTTCGATTTCCCTAGAAGGTTCGACTTATCGGGAGCTGACTGTAGTTCATTTTAATGTCGAAAAGGATGGCTTTCCTTTTTGCTAAATATCCCCATCTCCCCTATTCAATTCTGGGATGCAACAGAAAAATTACGCACACAACAATGGGCCAGGGGCGAGGGGAAGAAGAAAAAAAGAGAAAAACGTAGCAGCCTTCCCAACACTTTTGATGACGATTGTAGCATAGCAGGTTATGTACTTACTGATTCCGTGACACGCTTATCTTCTGGACATCTGAACATGTAGAAGGACTTAATTTCCGTAGGGAAACGACACAGCAGGATTGGCTAGGTTATGAAAAATAATATAATCAAGGATCAATAAGCAAGCCTATTAAAATGTCGTATTGAGAAACCGAAGTTCTTGTACCTCGTTGATTTGATCTGTCATTTTTCGCTCGGGCATCTCAGGAATGTCCTGCAAAGAGAAAAAGAAGAGTCCAAAATCAGCAGACAAAAATAGAGTATTGACATTAATTTGATTTTTCCCCCTACCCCTACCTTAACAATAACAACAACAACAGGTGAAAATTAAGATTGGGAATCCTTTTATTGAAGACTAGTTTTATTATGTATATTAAAACTGAAACAAAATTTTAATGTAGCAGATAAAAATTTTGGCTATTTTCTCCATTTTAAATTTCCTGCATACTGCCATGGTAACAAACAAAATGTATGGTCAAAAATTCAAAATGGTGGTTCGCAGCAATTTTTAAAAAAATATTTGCTTTACAATTATTTTGTTCATACCAAGCTTCTTTCTTAAATTTTAAGATTAATTTATTGTCACAGAGGATTTTTCCATTTCATGGAAAGAGTGCAGTCACAATAACACACGAACTCTCAAGACATATCTGTATTTGACATGTGTGGTAAGGACTAAGACATGGTCAAGTAACATTACATCATACCTCTCCAAATTCATAGAACGTTCCATCCTCTTTTCTGATGTTATGCTCCTTCAAGTACACGATAGCATCAGAATAGTTCATTCTCCTGTGACAAAATAAAATATATGGTGGCTGTGAAGTGAGTTCTCCAAGAACTCCGCGAACAAAGAAACCTGGATATTCAATTGACAGCACTTGATGAACTTACTTGAAAGGTCTCTTTGGGGGCTTGAAATTCTAAAAGACAGTTATAATGATGGAAAAATACATAAATTATCATAAAAGTGAATTGACAACTCCAAATTTTTAGAGGCAAAGTCATTACCAAGAGCACTTTATTTTGCAGCATCAAACATGATGTAGAAGATTTTCAAAGAAAGCAAAGAAAAGTTAAGTTGACAACAAAGATGGAAAAAATTTTTCGATGTTCTAGCTGGCCGGATAATAAGAGTACTACAGACTCATACCATAGTATAACCTAATTATCAAAGTCTGTATTAAATAAGTTTTAGGTTTTTTACCGACAAGATAATCAGCAACTGCTGGGCCAGAATTGGAGTGACAAGAAGAAACTGTATTTACCAAGCTAAGGTTCAATGGAGAATTGTAACACCCCAGCCCTCTACCAACTTGATTTTCTCTTACTTTCTTAGGAGGTTGCAGTTTGAGTAATGTAAATTTCACGAAAACTTGGCCACTTTTACCAGAGATGAGTGTAGCTGATGTACATGTAGAATGATTATTTGAAACTTAAAGAGGGTAGATAGTAGATGCATAAGATAAATGTGAGTCACCACCTTTTCCTTTATTTTGCTTAGTGATAAATTTAAGACAAATTACTTTCTAAACATAATAATAAGCCCTGGGTTTTACACACCGGATTCAGTTCCTTGAGTATTTCTGCATGGGGAGACTTCAGAACTCTATCAACAACGTCGCAAACCTGGAATGGAAGAAAAAAAAATGGATAAAGGGGTATACTTTGAACATTTATTTCTATAGGAAATATAGGGCTTAGTCTGAGGGGAAGAAAAACATAATATAAGTTTGGTGCTATTAACTTGGTTTATATCATGGCTTCTATAACTGAAGCTTTGAGCCTTGCTTAAGTTAGTTGATAAAACCTCATTCTCTATTGTAATTTTATTAAACAAAGCTTTGATCAGTGCAACCATAATTATGCATGATTCGTTGAACCGGAAATAAAAGCCAAGGTTGAAAAGAAAAAACAATAATAAAAACAGTAAATAAATAAAAATTCGTACCAAGTCTTCTATCCTGTCTAGGAGATCATCAAATGAAATGAATGGGCATTCTGCCTCTACGTGAGTATATCTGAAATCAGGAAAAAACACAAAATCATGTACATAATACTGGTACTTCAGAATCAGATCCCACGGAATCTTAACAAAAGCTCTTGCTGTCACCTTCAAGAGCAAACACCCATCCTCGCGACTGTTTCACATGTACATGTTTTGCTCTGGGATGAGAGCCTTCTTAGCATGATTGTGAGGCTAATGCGGGTCAACTTCTAGGCGAAGACAAAAGCAAACTAGCTGTGGCTGAGTTGCTGGAAAACGATACAAATCATGAAAATAATAAGATTTCAAAGCTCAAACTTTAACAGTAAGCTAAGGGAACATCTCTTAAAAATGAAATCAAACTTGAGACTAATCCTAATACATTTGCGAGAAAAGTTTTTAAATTACTATAATAGTCTGCTTTCGCAGGCTTGCTTTGCAGCTGCTGTGGCAGTAATGTTAGCCTGAGTGGCAGCCATAAAAAGGAGAGGGGTTGGGGGAGGGAGAGGGAAAAAAAGAATAAATGCAAAAGGGAAAGGAGAAAGGGAGCTTTTCCTCTCTCCCCAATCCCTTCTCCCTTTTCCAATCCTTCCCTAACCCCTTGGATGCCTGCTGTGAGGGCTTCGGTAAAGTAAGGACAACAGACTTACTCTGATAGATGTCTCCTAGTGCGTGACTGCTCTGCCCTGTATGACTGTGCTATACAGAATACATCACCTAGTGATGGCAAGAGTGTTTCCAGGTACAGCTGGGAAGACTGCGTCAAGTAGGCCTTCAAGAAGAAAAATACAATCATAATGGTTGTAATGATTATTGGAAACTTAACACAATGTCAGTAAATACAGCACTAAAACTAACAACAAGAACAAGAATAACAAACACGTAAAACTGAAATTCAAAAACTGCAAAATTACAAAGAGGGTTAGCCATATGAATCTCCACTTTGCTACAAAGATTCTTTTCTTGAACATGTACACACAAGCTTCGTAGACGCGAGATGTTGGTACATGTAGCCCAGAGACGATGGGCAACTGGCAATGCTTCCTTAAAACTGTACTTACTTTTTTTTAAAAAAAATTATCTTTAAATAATGAACACTTACTTTTTCACCAAAATAGTTAAATTCAAAGAGAGTAGAACCTCCTTCAACTTGTGTTTGGACCATTGTGGGTGGAGTGACCTGTGAATGGATAAAACAGTGCATTAAGAAAAATAACGATAAATGGCTCTGCAGACAGCACTGAGTCGACTCCAGCAAGAAATTTAAGATATATGTGTATGACAAATTTTCTCTCACCACCAGTTTACTGTAGTAACTTTAATAAATATATCATAAATGCTCAAATAAATGCCCTAGGCATCTATTTAATTTTAGAAGCCCGAGCAAGGGAGTTTAACACATAAGATGAGTTTACACATGCAAAAGAGAGAGGAATTTATTCTCATAACTGTAACAAATTCCACAAAACTGTAATAATATACGGTACTTTAGGTGAAAACCACAGTATATAAATAGCAGACTAACCACTCCATCCATTGATACAGCTATGTCATTTTAAGATTCATCGTTTTTTTTTAAATCTCAACTTCGATGTCTGAATCTTTAATTTGAACTTGACAGTGAACAAGATGCAATGCACAAAACCTTGTTAATCAAGCGAGAAACTAAATAAATTGAATGATTTTCCTTTATTTTACTATTTCCTAGCTAGCATTTTGGAGCAAGTGTCATGCACAAGAGACATTCATCTATGAGAGGGTGTACATTAGTCTTTAGATCATTTATGGTATTTAACTAAAAGTCACAATATTGTTACAGTCAAACTCCTATTTCTGCTAATGCTTTCAGGACCATATATGAGTTAGTGTCCTCAGTAAGGAGATTCGAATTCTGGAATACCTGGAATTTATTTTAGTCAAAAAATGGTGAATCATTATTTTCGCTGGAATTGGCTGCTGTCCATATCATTAAGGTTTCTCTAGCAGCTGCAGGGGTATTGCAAGGCAAGAGTTAAATGTAATATCATTTCTTACCTCAACATAACTGTGATCAAAGTAATGGTCTCTAAAACTAAAAGTCAATAAAAGAATGGAAAAGAAAAAAGGAAAAGTCAGTCAGAGATTTGATTTTAGTCAAGGTCATGTGACCAAGAATCAACCAATGGAAGTCCCTGTTTAGTTGAGTGAAAGTCTAGGAATATAACAATATATTTTGTCCAGATTTCATAGATTCAAATACTGTACATGTATGCTCCGTGGTTGAAAGAAAATGTGCAACACAAGTTTCATTTTTAAGCTACAGATAAAAGTGTCATGCTACTAATCTTTGGTGCTACATATTTTCATTTTCACGGGAGTCCGACAAGTAATATATTTTTGGGATAAGGTAGATCAACAATATCAAAATGAGTATATATTAATTTTTTGTAAGAGCAAGACAACTAACCACTGAGTAACAGTAGATCGCATTCTCAGGATTCTTGAAATCTAGAATAAATTACCACCAAGTGTTAATGAAAATTAAGTCACAGCTGCAGTGAAGTACAAGTGGAGTTGTGTTGCACAATTAATTATGGGGAACTACAGGTACATGTAACTTGACAAATACCCCACATCATCAAAATTTTATGATAGTTAGTAAAAAGAGCTGATAATATTACTTGCCTCTGACCAGACAAATACATTCAAACATAATATTTTGGCTTAGCTTCTTGCTTGCTCAGTTTTTTGTGCAAACTTTTAGTCACAGCATTCAGGCCAGTGCAGTAACTGAAAGATCTGCACATCATTCTATAGTTGGAGGCATTTCCATTTAATTCTTGTTTTTTTTTTTTTACCTACGGTTGTACACTAAGTGTACTAATGCATTTTAACCAATACTCAGGTTGTTATTATAATTCTTAGGGTCAATTAAAATACTAGTTACAAAGCAGTATGAGATTAAAAGGCAACATAAACAGTCTTACTGTATCTCCCCTGAGCATGATGTGCCGGTTATCAAGCTGAGTATCTATAGCAGATTCCTTAAAAGAGCAGAAAAAATAATTTTTTGTAACACAATCAGTTCTTATAACTAAAAAAAGCACAATAAAGGTGGAATTGAGAAAAAAGCTAAAAGAAAGACAGTGGAAAGTGGAGAAAAGTTGTTAAAATGTCATCTTACGTTCGATAAAACACTTGTGATCACCTCTCTGCTATATGAAGCACTGACATTACTTGGAGAAATTTTATCCACATGATCACTCTTTATAAGGCTTAAAGGGTTAATAATTAAAGGGGGATGTTTATTTTACATTTCAGTGTGCCACAACAAAGAATTTATCGCTTTCATATTAACCAACCTCATTCACAAGATTGTCAACACCACCAGCAGGGGATTCTCCCACTAGTTCCCAGTAGTCCACAGCCATTTCATGTCCTCCGGGAGCCTGGACAATAAAAAATTATTATAATACAAAAAGCTGACTTCTAATCTCTTGACAGAATTTAAAACATAACTACCTCATTTTATTATATAAACACCAATGAAATAACAGGTGAGCTTTCGCATGAAAACATGATACCTGATATGTGAAAATAACCTGTTATCTTCACACATGAAATATAACCATTGCTATATATGGCGAAATAATAAATCGCACCTTTCAAAGCAAAAAACTATTAAAGTGAAATGGTTTGGTATTTCATTGGTATTTACATTATAATTGTAAATAGAGCGTAACATGGCCTTTTGTAGATACGAAAATTTCTCTTCTTGCGTTGAAAAAATATTTCACTTGTTTGCTGCGCTCACTCGTGAAATATTTTTAAACACTCAAAGAGAAATTTTCGTATCTCCATGCAGCCATGTAATATCCTTTATATGCACCTCAACAAATTGTATCTACCAATAATATTATTTTTTTACAGCAAAACAGCCAGCATAACTATCATTATCATAAACAACTACAATAGAAAACAAGAATGCTTACTGTTTTTCCTTCTGGAAGTGCTTTGATGACACCATAAAGACATACAGATGCTTCTGTAGATAGTGTTACACCTTCATAAGTCTGGCACTTAAAATTGAAAAAGAAAGGTAAACATAACTTAAATATGCAATTTTTGCTAAATAAAAATCTGAGGTACATGTATTAATTACTAATTTTGCATTGTATTATAAGGGCCCCAGTTATAACATATTATCTTCAAAATTCCATTTAGTAAAAAGAAAAAGTCTGATTTCCCACTTTTTATCTACCTTCTGCTGATTTTGTTCATCACACATTTCAAATTTTAATAGCCATATCTCATGTATCATTTCATGGTTCATTTTCCCATTCCTGCTGCCCATTTTGAGCTACTGATCTGTTAAAATAAATTGTGAATGCTTACCAGTTGATCTGACAGAACACATTGAAGGAAACCATTTCCATCTCTAAGAACTAAAAACATCAGATTTTTGCCTTGTCTTCTAAGCCTGTGCACCCAGCCAAACACCTTTACCCTCTGGTCACGATGTGTCACTGAATCTTTTATTCCTATCTGTGATGCAACACAAATGAGAATCAAGACCTGCCTTGAATTCGGTGTAAGAGTCAGTTATATCAGTATGCACCAGATTACATCTACATTGTATTTTTTAGTTAGAACAACTAACAGGCAAGTTCAACCTGGCCAAAGATGCTGATCAGCGAAGAACTTACTCTCTGGGCAGGAGGCAAACTTGGATCTTCTTTTATTGTAATTTTCTTAGCCTCTTCAAGATTTTTTTCCCTCTGTTGAGCCTTTTCAGCCTTAAAAAAACAAAACAAAACAAAAGAAATTAAGGCATAAATCATAGTAGTGACAACCCAAATGTAGCACTCCCGGTGGTTGGCTAAAATAATCTGAAAGTAAGGGATGGACCATTAGGAAAGTTATGGGGGCAGGCGAGCAAAGTTCAAAAAAAAGTTTATAAGCAAGGAAAATTAAATGAAATAAAGCTGGGGGTAACCTTGTGATGGACTGTAGCCCATCTAGGATTCTCCTTGGTACTTTATGTTACTTATATGAGCAAAAGATTCCAGATTACATGTATTTTAACCCTTTAAGCCCCAATATCCACATACAAATTCTCCAAACTGGTCTTTATACATTTCCTTAAGGGATAAGTTGAGAGAATTTGGTAGAAGATCAAAGTATTTTCTCTTAGGTGATCATTTTATTAACTCTCATAACCATTTCTCTTGGTAACATATGGATATTGTTAGGAGAAAATTGATGTTGGTCACTATAGGGACTTAAAGGGTTAAAGCCCCAAATTTAATTTTAGAGAGAAAATTAATGTCTACTCAAAAGTAGCATCAAAGAAGTTTCACCTCAGAGCCATAACATTATGATATTTGTCCAAAGGCTGGAACTACATCACACCTCTCCTAAATTGATTATCAGAGACAGAAAAATCCACAACCTTGGTTTAATCTACACTAACCTCCTTTTTCTCCCTGTCTTCAGATTTCTTTTTCTCTTGAGCATAAAGTTTGCTCATTTTCTTTAGCTGGGCCTTTGCAAGCTTTTCGTATCTCTGAAATGATAATCATGATTATATGACGCAACTGACATGTACAAATAATGAAAGAAAAAATGGCTGGAGATGGTGCATAATTTACTGTGCTACACTTGACCACTTTACACTGCTCATACATGTACACATGTACGTAGGATGGGGGTGGGGGGGAGAATAATATGCTTCAACAGGAGGCAAATATGCATAATCAGCCATTAAATTAAAATCTATTTTAATAGTTTATGTAAACGTTGTGGGTCAAATTATGAAATTCAGGTAAAAATGGTATCAACTTACACTGTAGAATGATTCTCAAGTTCCTTGGCTTCTTGACCCTAATAATTATTATTCATAGTCATGAATAATAATGGTTAGGAAGCAGTGAAACTTGAGAATCAAGCTGGGTTGAAACCATTATTTTTAACCTGAATTTCATTTGTCAACTAAAACCTAAAACAAAAAGGCCTTTTGGAACCTTGACGGTGATGAATACTGCCATTCAAAACTATTACAATTTGAAAAATTCTCCATCGTACCTCTCCTTCATCTTTGCCATCCACCATAATCTGAGGTAAAGGTTCCTTCCCTTCAGAGGTACGTAAGGCCTATGAAACAAAATCCCAAAAACATATTCCTTAATTAATACTATGCTTTCTGCATACTCTTGATGTAAACTCTTTTCACCAAACTTGGCACTATGAATACCAAAAACTGCCACCTATAAACCCCCCAAATTTATAAGCCCCCCTGGTTATAGGCCCATCTAATTGACTATCGTGAACAAAAAATCATCTGATTATAAGCCTCCCTCTAGCTTTTCTTTTCTTGATTTGATTGGTCATGATTTTTTGAGGTTTAATTTAAAGACCAGTAAATGGAAACCTTTTTTTTTTAAATCAACAAACTCTACCATAGCTTGTTTTGAAGCAAGTTTTCTATTCAGGATATAAGCCCCCTTGATTATATGACCCTCTGTATAAAAGCCTTCCTAAAACCCCTCACAAAGATATGTAAGCCCAGGGCTTATAAGCAGCAGTTTACAGTATTGTGAAAAATTCTTAAAGACTTCCCTGGAACATGTAAATGTTGTTGGTAAAACCTGTTGTCATGTTAACCTACCTTACTGGTACTTAATTTCGCGGGTCTTTAATTATTGGTGTTTTTTGTGATTACAAGAAAATCGCAAAATTAAAGATCAGCAAGAATAAATCCTCGTGAAATTAAAAGCATGCAGAATTTATTACCCATATAGAAAATTCAAATGACAATTTACATGTAATAGCAATGGTAGGTCTTGACAAACACAAATTGCTTTCTAGTTTTACTGGTTAGATCCATTTTGTATCTTCTGTTGTAAAATGAGGCTAGTTTGCAAAGATTTCACACATTGCTTGTTCCAGTTTATCTAATTTTCTTAAAGGTTCAGACTTTTTAAAAAAAGAAAATGAAGTTGAGAACGCTTAAATCCTGAAAATAAACACCATGAAATACTGTCTCCCCAGTCGTCAAAATTGCAAAATTAAGTATCCACGAAATAAGGTACCAATAAGGTAGATTTTCTTTGTCTCTGATGAAAAACAGGGCTAGCAACCAATTGTGTTTATCATTTCAGTATTACAATACCTGCATTACTGTTTTGAAAGGTTTCTGTAAAGAACCATCACCAGTTTCATCATTTCCCTCCTTTTCTGAGGTGTACATCAAAGGCCCATCAGCTATTACAAGAGAGAAGTGTTAGTAGCTATGTTGTTTCTAAATGTAATTAAAACAAGACCTAAATGAAACTTACCGTAATAATGCTTATTCTTCATGCAAGTGAAAGTTTCAAGTATCATCTTATTAATTTTAAGAATTCAAGAAAAAAATAATTAAAAAAACTAACCTAGGCATCTAATGGGAGCATACATTCTAAGGGACCTTGTTAAGCTAGCTTGGCATGCACTGCCTTGTGTAGGGACCCATGGAAGTCTATCTGGTCTACAGCAATAAGCTGAAAGGGAACGCCTTAAGGTGCAGAGCCAGGAAGCCCTTTGAAGATAAGAAAAGGAGACACAGCGCATCTCTAGCTAACTTGGCCCTACGAATTAAAACAGAAAGAGTTATCCTAATGAAAATGAAAGTGTCTGACATAACTTTGTACAGTGTATCTATGGCAAAAAAAAGTTTTACTTTACGATATTGTTATTCATGTTATGAGCAAAGTACTTTTAACATTTGCTGATCCAAAAGTTTGATGCTTGTTGGCTTTTCACCAACAAATTATACCTTAAAAAAGAGATAGCTCATGTATACTAATGACTCTAAATGTGCATTGACTCATATCAGAGCAGATATGTGTCACAAGTTAAAATTAAATTCAGGTTAAAATTTTTTAACCCAGGTTGATTCTACATTTCCTTAATTTGTCTCCTAGCCTATAGTATTCAAGAATTAGGGCTAGGAGATGAAGGAAATAATTTCATATGAGAATCAATGTAGGTTAAAAAAAATTTAAGACCCATGCACGCATGAGACCTGATGCATGTACTTGTATTTCCAGATGCATGTTATGCATATATTTGGTTTGTTTGGTTCTGGTTTGCACTGTAGCTCATAGAAATGACCTCAAAAAATGTTCAAAACTCAAATGAAATAGGCAAAGTTTTAACAAAAACTTTTTATGGGAAATTGCTATTGATTTGTTTCCTGCGATAATGTTGAAAGGTTTAAGTGTCCACTTCTCAGAAAAATGCATGCATGAGACAGAGGAAAAGAAATTGCACCACCATAACATCATTTACATTGTCTATAGTGTCATCTATAGACAATACCTCTCAACCAATTAGGGAGCATGAAAAGGCATATTTCATCACGAAACAGTAAAAATTAAGGTTTCACGGTGAATAAGCAACTTTCTGATTGCATCTTGTCTTAAAAATCACTGCTTTACAGTATGAAAAACAGATCAATTCTAGTAGGTGAAATGAGCCAATAACGTTCTAACACATGCAGTGTAAGTAAATCAATATCGATCAAGGCATATAAACAAGAACTTGTATGCTTAACGATTTCTGATAACTTACGCTTACTCACTCTATGCGCGAAAATTGAATAGACAAAAGATTTTTTTGTTTTGATCCCACATGTGCATCGTTCTATAAGGAAGGACAGTGATCGTGTTCTCTGAGATAAAGTGTCCGAATGGAAAGTACAAAACCCGGCAAAATCACTGAACCAGTAGGGTTAGTGTGAGTTTTAGTAAGATTAAATGTGCTCGAAAATTCAAATTCTAATTCCCAATATAGTCAAATCTGTTTCGCTTTGAACGTCCCCTCTAGGTTAGAAAATTATTCACTGCGATATCGTGGTTTCCTTGCCATGAACTGATGAAAAAATGTAGGGCTTCGACCGCCTTTCAACACGTGCGTGCGCAAACAACTGTTGCTTTGCTTACCTTGAACATCCAACTTTTCCATCTCAGAAGTCAGGGATTCAGACATTGTTCTTCGCCTGTCCTAAGACGATAAATAACTTGAATTATTAAGAAAAGGGTTTAAATTTACAGAAATTTCCAGCAAATGGTGGATTGCGGGCGTGTTACATCAGGCAAAGACGAGCCCTTGATGAACAGGAAGTAAATTTCAGCGGTTTTTCAATAAACTTTTACTATACTACTTCATGTATTTGGCTTTAAGTGTAGTTACAGGTTTTCAGTGTGACCACGGGTATGGAGAGGCGGGGGATCGGGGGTGGGGAGAGGGTGTTGATCAGAAGAGTGAAATGCTGTGTAAAAAATATTGAAATAGTTTTTATGAAAACAATCTCATCGTGGATACTAAAAGTAGTTGATTTAGAAAAAAAAACGAAAACCTAGTTTATTTCCTTTAGCACGATATTCCAGTGTGAGTAGGTCTTCCCCCTCCCCTAGTGCGCAGTGGAATGGTTTCAGAGGCGCGAAAAATGGCCTCTGGAACTTCGAATCTTCATCATGTCGATTGCAGCGTATTGTTTGGCGCATTTCATTGTTCTCTCGTATACTTTTCATAGATGCAAAGGATCTTAAATTCTTAACGATGTATCGCGCGATAAAAACGAGCTGGTATAGATGGCCTACAGGAATTCCGGCCAGATTTCTTTTGCCTCGTCTGCAACGTAGCACGTGTTCATCATCAACAACATTTCATGAGATCGAGCCGAATGAAGAACAAAAGAGATTCAACCCTCTTGAAATACAAATGCTGTCTAGTTCACTACACGCTCAAGTGTTCCGTGGCAAAATGGATACCTACGATCCAACGACGATTAAAAAATGTCAAGAACATTTGACAGCACACAGCTTGTGGAAGAAAAGTGGGACGGTCTTACCTGAAGTGGAGTTTGAGCTACCACCCCAGCTGGGCTCAAACATCGATGAACACTTTAGAAACATCGCAGAGCAACAAAGCAGGCCGTATTTTGAAAAGGCTAAGTTGTTAGCGGAATTAAGACTTCCTGCAATACCAAATGAGTGGTGTTTCTCTCCAGGGTGGACTAAGTATGTTTATGACGACAAGGATCTTGTTACATCATCAGTGGATGTTCCAGAAGAGGATGCTTTAATCTTTGACGTTGAAGTTTGTGTTAATGAAGGTCCTTTTCCTGTTATTGCTGTAGCAGCATCACCTACTGCTTGGTAGGTGATCAACGCAACTGACAGAATTACCTAATAGGTTTTTCAGGATCTGGGATTGCCATTTAATACTTGAAGCTCTGGATTAGGGATATTATGCGTCAGTCAATTCCAGCTGTGCCCAACACCCCCGGGCACTAGCATTTTTTTTGCCTTGGATGACAAATCCCTGGGGGTGGGGACTCTTGAGGCGGTCAAATCCCCCAAGGTGGTAACGAAAAAAGAGGGCAAATGCCCCATTCTCCGTCAACACTGCAACCTTTTTCATTGATTGCACAGTCGAATAGTGCTGTTTTAAACATTTTAATGCCCCATTTTTTGTTTCAAGTAACGTCTTCTTTGTAATAGCACTAGGATTCTTTATTAAGACTTCACGTGGCGACGACATGAACCAGTTTATGGTTTTAGTATTGATATAAAATTATTGACATTAAAATTAATAGAGCACTGTAAAGTTACATGTTATGAATAGTTCTATAAATATGAAAGGATGTTCTTCAAAAAATATCAACAGAAATTTGATTCACTAACTAAACAATGTTGATTCAGGTCGATAGCTCCCGAGTTTTGCTATGTAATTCTGGCTTGATAAGCAATGAAAAAATGCATGCATAAAATCGAGAACATGCCTTTACAACCCCCTGTCTTGGACTGATGAGCCAATATGCATTTTTCCAGTAATATCCTCTGTGTAGTTATATTCTGATATTCACCTCTACACAAACCACGATGTACAAATGTGAACCCTCCATAGCAGTCTTTGTTAGCGGAGGGTTTGATGTGACATTGTCTATTTGTGGGACCAGTTTAATTAATTTCTTTAGCACCACTGTTCTAAAAGCGTAGGGGATGTAGACCCCGATGTTGTGGTCAACCTTCACTCATCACATCATTCACATCATGGGTTGGGTCACTGCCAGGAAAGGGTACAGTAAGCTCACAAATGGACTGAGAGCGGCTGCCAGTGGCGCCTTTATATGCGGACATCCGAGCTTACTGTTCACATGTTAAAATGTATGGTAAGAGGGCACGTCTGTTGTCCTCTCATCCACGACTCTTCATTTCATTTCATTTCATACTCATGCCTACTCAGGTACAGTTGGGTGAGTCCAAGACTTATAGAAGACAAGAGTTACCAGTGGTTGGTCCAGCCAACACCTAAGTTATACATACCATTAGAGATTCCTGACGGACAAGACTGGAGGCAGGTAGAGTGGAAAGAGAGGCTTATTGTTGGTCATTCTGTCGGATATGACAGATCCTTTATAAAAGAGCAGTATTATATTAAGGTATGATTGCCTTGGCTGTTATGTTTTCAAGTGGATAGGTTTCACTGACTGTTTAACCATGAACTGCCAGTACCACTTGGACTATCAAAAGTATCCATTATAGTAAAAGGAAAGTGAAGACAGAAGCAGGATAAGAGAATTGCCATATACAGGGTTTTCAGTAAGAATTCTACTAGCAGAAGAAAGGTGTAATTTTGCAGGAGAATATTTTGAAAGAGGCTCCCATGTGTGAATAAAAAATAGTGTGAGGCTACCAAACGTAGCCCGAGAATTCTGCGTAGTTAGCGGAGACTTCTCCGATCTCCGGTGCCTAATGAACACCCTGCATATATTGCCTTGTAATTAGTATAACATACAAAATGACCCTTTTTTGCCCTTTCAATTCATTCCCAGAATGAATAATTAGTATTGTCGCATCACAATAAGTTTTTGTTACAATATTGTTTAAACTTATGAAATATCTTAAATTAGCATACCTAAGCCTTTGTAAGTTTGGAGCATGGTTATTAACGGCAGAATCCTCTTTAATTTGTGCAGGACTGTAGATTTTGGTTTAAGCAAGCTGGGTTCACTCACTTTAAGTGGATGTGTTGTCAATCACATTTCCAGTTCCTTTTTAATTTGCCTATTTCAGGGACCAAAGACATATTTTCTGGATACTCTGAGTCTTCACATGTGCATTGCAGGCTTCACAAGTCTGCAGCGCAACCTTTGGGAGTCGGCAAATGCTGGTCGCATTGGAAAAGTACCATGGATGTTGGGTGGCTCAGGCAATAAACTGCAGGACCTTCAGTCTCTTTATTGTGGGAAAGATGATTTAGACAAGTCAATGGTGAAAATATTTGTGGAAGGGACGCTCGATGATGTTCGAGAACATTTCCAGGTATAAAGAAAAAAAAAGGAAATTAAATAAGGTTCTTTAAAAGTAGAATATGAAAAATTAAATGTTGGCATATATTGGTTTCATGTCACTGGACTTAGTTTCTGTAAGTCGTACATCAAAACTTCTACTTAAATTTTATTTTCTCAGTCAATCTTTACTTAAAACACTTATATTACTAACACGTCATGTAATCTTCTGATGCTGATCAGCAACATTTCTCCTGTTGTTGACAGTTAATTTATTGATCTCTTGTGCAATATTTCCCAGCATACTACAGTTTCCTAAAATAAAGCTATTGATGAAACCAACGCTCTGTTTTGGGCTCTTTAAGTGATTTATCTTTGGCTAATTATTTTTTTCAAAAGGAGTTGGTAACATATTGTGCTAAGGATACAGCTGCAACTCAGGAGGTATTTGCTGCCCTTTGGCCCAAGTTCCTGGATAGGTTTCCTCACCCTGTGTCTTTTGCTGGGATGTTAGAAATGGGATCAGCATATCTTCCCGTCAATCACTCTTGGGAAAATTACATCAGGGATGCTGACAATACCTATGATGACTTAGAAAATGAGATGAAGCGCTCACTGATGAAACTGGCAGATGATACTTGCAATTATCTTCATGGAAAAAGGTTTGGAAAGAGTTGGCCCGTATTAGATAATCCAAGACAGTCTTGAATTCTGAATTCCACGCCATGGATTCCAGATTCAAACTACTGGATTCTGAATTCCTTGTCAGTGGAATTTGGATTCTGGATTCCAATTGTTAGCAGGTTTCTGGACTCCTAGAGCTGAATCATGGATTCCAAAGCCCATGACTCTGGATTCTACGAGCAAAAATTTGTTGTATTCCAGAATCTGAATTACCTTACATGGAGTGAAAAGAGTTATAATCATTGTTTTTAATCCTGCATTTATTGGTATTGTCTTCATAATACTTCCACGTTAGATACCTGCCCCTGTTGGGGGTTGCAATGTATGCATTATTGAACAAGTGCTTGGTCTGGATACAAATATTTATGGACTGAGAAGAAGTCAAGGACACAAGCTTTGTCAATAAAGGATTTATTATGTGGTCAGAAACAATCTTTTCCTAGTGGGACCATTGGGAAAATCCCGGGTGGCCAAGACGAGCCCGTTTTGCTCGCTTGTGTAGCCAATCGGAACACAAGATTTGCTTGATCTTGCCCACAAAAAATTTTATATGCTGAGAGCATAAACTGCCGCTTATAAACCCTGGTCTTATACATCTACATAAGGGGTATTAGGAGGGCTTTTACATGGAGGGGCTTATATCCGAAGAGGCTCATGACCAAAGTAGAAAAATTGCTTCTAAACAGGTTATAGCGTCCTGATCAACATGCCTTTTGCATTTATTGGTTTTAAATTAATATTCAAAACGTCCTTATAAATCTAATTCCTTTTTGTTCATGGTTAGGTAAGCCTATAACAGGGTGTGTGGGCGTGGGTGTGGGTGTGGGGGGTTATAAGTGGTTGAGCTTATAAGCAGCAATTTAGGGTATTTATGCAGCACATTCCTGTTCTTTAAATTTGGTTAGGTATGCAGAGGATGCATGGCTCTGGGAATTAGACTGGTCAGTACAAGAAATAAGAACCAAAAAACTGAAACAGCCAAAGAAGAAAAGGCAATCCAAGGCTGAAAAAAACACTACTAATGTTATCAGAGCTGTTGAAGAAACGTCTGGCTTGTTTTCTGAAGATGAATTGATCGATGATAACAATGTGGAGGTAATTGAAGGATTAAAGAGCTCCACTGATATGATAGCTACCGTTCCTCCAGCTGTGGATGTGATGTACAAGAGACGACAGAACTTGCCAGGTTATCCTAAGTAAGTGAATTATTGTTGTTGTTGCTGCTGTTTTTTATTTCTTTCAATTTTTAATACTCCATTTTACAATCCCGACAATGCACAATTTAAAAGGGCGGGCTTTTAGGGAGAGGGAAAACTGGAGAACACGAGGAAAATTCTCTCGGAGTAAGGGAGAGAACCAACAACAAACTCAACCCACATTAGGGAACTTATTAAAGACACCCAAGAAGGCAACGGTAACGAAGACGTCTTTGAATTCTTTAAACATTAAAGGACCGTAAGTAAGTTCGAAAAAAGAAACAGAGAAAATCGTCTTCTTGTTGTTTAAAACGTGAAATGTGGAAGTTTCACGTCGTAGTCGTACAGTGACTGCAAAGAAATATAGGCAAAAAATTATGATGCACGTGTAGAGTTGTCGATTCACAACAACGGGATGATTGGCAACGACGATTTTCAGTCAATCAATCACTCAATCGACCAATCAATCATTATTTAAACACGTGACAACAACAGAGCGTTGCAAGTATTGTTGCGACCTTGTTTTTTGTAAATCGTCTTGTGTAACCCACATCGGCGTCAAACCTATTGCTTTAATGACGTTCCCGTTGCTTTCGCCGTCCTTGGATCTTAAAAGGGACCTTACCAAAATACAACGACGACGGCAAAAAGAACGTCAAAAAAGCAATAGGTTCAATGCAAAACAACAACTCTGCACGTACATCACGCTTTTTTGTACATTTCTTTGCTGTACCTGCACAACTACGACGTGAAATGACCAAAATTTTAAGTTTCCTTGAGAACGGGAACGGCAAGGCGATAAAATTCTACAATCCTTATCTGAACTCGGGCGCGGTCCTCTCTTTCAGCTCCGACCAAAATTCCCTTCTTTTAAGTGACAGAGAGAATTGGGATAATCGCGAAAAAGTTTCAATGGATGCGAAGTCTATTTTTCAGTGACGTTTTCATGGACGTCGTCGTTATCGGATCGTAAGGTCCCTAAAGTCTCCATAGGCGCGGTTAGACTAGACCTTTTTCCCATAGCTCCCCTTGGGGAAATAGCTTGGGTTGGTTTCGCTCTGGGTCATGATCGCTTTCATGTTTGAGGTTACACAGCGGTGAAAAAACTTGAACCCGGTTTCACGGGAAACTTCGTAAACATTGAAGGCGGACATAAATCGTAAACCGTAACGGTTTCGACCATTTTAAATTTTACTCTTGTAATAAAATCTCCACGTAAATTAAGCTTAGCAAGAGCGATTCAGCCCTTAATTTTGAAACTACTGAAAAACGAAGACGTCGACTACATTCTCGCTTAAAAGAGGCAAATTCTTGCTCAAAAGTCAAAAGTACGGGTTTAAAAAAATGGTTGCAACGACTTCATAAGGAAAGAATTTTTGAACACTTGCGAATGTTCAGGGTGCTTTTGAATTTATCAAAAGTTAATTATTCACAGCTGTGCTCAAACTCCTGCTAAGTTTCCAAATGTTGAGTCCAGTTTCGCCTAGGATTTGGCGCCAAGACGAACTCGGCACCTTCACGTAAACAACACGTGATTTTTACTGTTTGGTACATTTCACTTTCTTGTGATTGGTTGAGCCGCTTTGGGTTCTTATTAACTGGCCATATAACTTTAATGCCTCGGAAACTGACGTGAGTAATTCTTTTGTTCTTTTTGACGTATCCATGGAAATTTCCCCGAAGTAATTTCACCTTGGTGAAATCAGTCACACTCAAAAAGTTGCTTTCCCATGGGCAACAGCCATTAGTCCATGGGTAAAATGGCTAGTGTAACCGTACCTATTATGGCGTCGACGTTGAGACTTGGGCCACAATGGAGGCAAGCAAGTGCTCTCTCCACGAGGTCGACCTTGATCCAATAGAAACCATGGAACAAACACATCTCGCACATGCGCAATTCATGACGTATCTCCTTTATTACTTTAACTTCATTTTCTGCGAAGGTGTTTTCCACAAACAATGCAAACAAAACACATTTTTCGACCTTATTTTTAGGTGGTACCGATCTCTGTGTATTGGACCATCGGACAAAGAAGAGTGGAAGGAAGGGCCTGTAAACATCAGCCCACAGTGTCAAATTGCGCCCATGCTACTGCGCATGACTTGGGATGGATTTCCACTGTACCACACTCGTAAGCATGGCTGGGGATACCTGGTCCCTGGAAGAACAGATAATCTCACAAGCAACCTGGTCACGTTGCCTAGTAACGAAGACGAACATGTGGAAACAGAGAAACCAGAGTTAACATTTCCAACTAGGTATGTAGACACGTAAGTTTTGAAAGGGAAGTGGATGGCATTAAAACTAAGCAAAATAGGTGGTAGATTTGACCAGGGCTAGATTTTGCACTTACACACCTGCGATCGTATGGCTTTGGATCGTTACGTTTAAGCAAATAAACGCAGATTTTATTTGATCTGAAACTGGAATCGTGGCACAAGCATAGCTCCATTATTTAATACGTGAACCACACACAGCTTAAAATCCCGCTCTGATAAGTGGTCAGCGTGGCAAAGTAAACTTGATCAACTGAGGTGTTAAAACTATAATTTTCGTGTTTCATTGTTCCACCGACGCATCGGCAGAAGTCTCGCCATAGTTGTTCACAGCTATCCGTAATAATCTACAGACTGTACCACAAGTGCTGGAGGCAAGCCGGAATCTTGACGCCATTTGTCTAAAGTATAATCGATAAAACTCTCGTATGAACATTGCCATTTTCTGCTTATAAGCTATTTTGGTCTTCGTAGGCTTCCTGCCCACATTTGCCGATAGATTTCTTATGTGATTCCTTAAATGTTTAAGAGAATGGCAGAACAAATCTTTTCTGTTCCAAAGTCAAAGCTTTTTCGTTTACAATTCACACTGCGTGGGTAGCATCTTAAGCGGGGGGAGGGGGGGGGGGGGGGTGGGGGGAGGTCTTTTAAGGGAAATCTGGGGGGGGTCTTTCCCATTTGCAAGCGTTTAATTTTTTTTGTGGAAAACACCAACTGACAAAAAATAAGGAAAAAGGGGTAAAAAAAGGACGGACGTTTGAAGGACAAAAATTAGGGGTTTTCCTTCTTGGGGGAGATTAATTGATGGAAAAAAACAGGCTGGAGAGAAGAAAAAAGACAATTATTCTTTTTGGTAGTGTGCTATTTGGATTTAGTTTTGGTTATTTGTTTTGGTGTTTTTTAATCTATGGATGGAATTGTTGTGGAGCACCTTTTTTTTTATACTAGAGGTTATCTTGTTTTGTGCTGGACTCGCGCGGGGGGGGGGGGGAGGGGGGGGGCGGGGGGGGGGGGGGGGGGTTAGGAGAAGTTACTTCAATGAATATCTGACGGCGTTCTTTCACATTTCAGAGCGTTTAATTATCTCTGGAGAAAGCACAGCATGAACAAAAATCAGGAAAAGGGTGATAGCAAGGACTCGACGTTTGATGGCAACGAATTGGATGTTTACTCTCTTAGTGAAGATCAACTGTGGACAAAATCAGAGCTGGAAGAAATGAAGAAACCGAGACACAGTGCCTCGCCAAAAAGTGATACTGATACGACTCCGAGTAAGACAGCATCAAAAGTTAAAAGCCAAGAAACAATCTCGGGTACAGAAAGCAAGCCTGATTTTTATCATGGAGTTGGGCCTTTTAATGATGTTGATCTTCCAGGAGTGTGGTTCTTCCGCATACCTCATAAGGTTTGAAATAGAAACGGAAGAAACTATAATTTGAAAGTCATAGAGAGTCATAAACCAATAGACCTTTTTTACCAATATGGCGGCCATATTGAATTAATTAGATTTAAGGAGTATTATAGGATGCCCAGGGGGCATGAGCACATTTCGTTTGTATTTTCGAGCGCTTTTCGGGACATTTTTTCTTAAAGTTTTCTTAGAATAAGATTGTAATGGGAAAAAAGATCCTGTGCCGTGTTTCGATGTAATAATGATCGTCTTTTTCCCGAGAAATATGCAGTGAAAGACCATATTTCTAATACTAAACTAGAAAAAGGCGATTATTTTTACATCCAAACACGGCACAAGAATCTTTTTCCCATTACAATCTTATTCTAAGAAAACTTTAAGAAAAAATGCACGGAAAAGCGCTCTAAAATACAAACGAAATGTGCTCATGCCCCCTGGGCATCCTATAATACTCCTTAAATCTAATTAATTCAATATGGCCGCCGTATCGGTAGAAAGGTCTAGTGGAAAAATGGTGTTGGCCGTGTCACGTGGTATTTTAGAGGGGCAACCAGATCAAAAAGCGGCCATAGTTAGGAATCACGGACGTTTTCTTATTCTAGACAACAAATGTTAAAGATTCAATAATTCAATATGGGTTGAGTTGATCGTTGTGTGTTGGTTATTGATGCAATGTCAACCGACGGTACCCTGAGAAGTAAGCGCGCGCAATTCTTGTGCGAAAATTGGCGACATTTGATCTAGACATTTTAGACTTGTGGAAGGAAATTACAACTCGATGCGTAACTGCTTGTTTTGGCACCTTTTATGGTTGGTTGACCCCCTAAGAGACCACGTGATAGTGATCAATGATCTGCGAAACACTGACAAATCACGTGTCGTCGTGAAAGGAGTTCAGTTTGCTTCCAAAGCCGCCAACACTGGAAGTGAACTGGGCATGAGCAGATCATTTCGGCAAAGTACTCTTTTCCCTACTGCGCATGAGCAGACTTGTTCGAAGCTTGTTATCAGCCGCTGATGTTCATTAATGGTTTTTGAGCAAGAAATAATCTATAATTGGATATTAAACCACCGAACTACGGGGGACTTGTGATAAGCAAGTTCCTACCTTTGGCTTTGCTGAGACTACTTCCATTTTAACTGGTTGATTAAAACGCTTAACTTTAATTTTAACTTTGTATATATTTAGCAATTATTGAATTTGGCTTTCGTAGGGTATGAAGAATTCTGCAGGTCGGGGACCCTCCGAGATTGCTTTATTATTCATTCAAAATAATTCCAAGTTTGAAAACAAGCTAAAACATGCTTACCTCGGTCGATGTTATGTTCATATCGGTAGCGCATCTTTATCGAAAAGTTTAGGAGATAAAGGGCTGTTCAGGTCTGCAAATATACTCCAAATAGCAGATGTCGTCCGTCGAGTTGTCTTTTGCTGTTCTTGCCATGTTTTTAGACAATAGTTCACCGTGAAACGAGTGAAATGTCTTCACATTACTCACTTCGCCATTACTCACTTCGAAAACAACTAAACCTCGTCCCCAGGTTTTCTCGGTAAAAGGTTAAATAATCTACAACTTTGCTGCACTTTTGACGTCATGGGTTCAATATGGCAAATTCTTCCAAATTTGGTCAACAGTAGCTGGTTATGATGAATTATTCTTTTGATTTTAGCCAATCAGAAACGGAGAAATATTTTGAATGAATAGTAAATAAAAAAATTTTCCCAGTTTCCCTTTTGATGACAAAACTCCTTTAGTTAAAATTTTTGGATCTGCTAAAACAAGTGACTACAGCCTGAGACAGACGAAAATTTAGGTTATCATTTCTGACCTTTCCTGTTTTAGAATGGTGAAAACTACCGTTGCGGGAATCCCTTGGCAAAAGACTACATCAGTAAGATTGAGGATGGAACGTTGGTGGCTTCTGGAGACCACAGCGCTCATAAAACTCTGATCATTAACAAGATGATTTCGTCGTGGAGAAATGCTCAGAAGAGAATAAGGTTCGGATTTTTGGAAAACAGAGTATAGAGGATAAAACAGTGACTATTTATTTACTTAGGTTCGCCAATTCTTGGCAGGATCACTGCACCTGCTGGTGGTGCTAATTACTGCGGCTCGTAACAGTTGCTACCCCCATGAAAGATTGACCACAACCCCAGGGACTACGTCCCCTAGTCGTTACGAACAGTGCGTGGGTTCTTAAACATCCCACAGAATTAATTTGTGCACGGGTTGTGAGACGTGGCTTACAGTTTATCGTCCCCAGATATTTAAGACCCTGAGTGTTGATCTGGTCGGGGTTTGAACCACCGGCCTTCTACTCAGCAGACCGGCGCTTATCTAATTGAGCTAACCGGGCAGCGGTTAGGGTGATTGTACCCTTTTAGTCTTAAGTTAGTCTTATTTGCTATCTTTTTAGAAAGCTAAAACTTGTTGTCACACCAATTGAATTCCAAAAAATAATAATGTTTCAGTTTTGGTACTTTTAAAAGACTATGTTTGGGCACTGAAGTTGTTTCCAGTCGTCTGTTGCAACGGGAGGCAATGGACTGAACTAACTGGAAAAAGTTGAGCTCAACCTTTTCATGTTTTGGTGGATGGATGATTATACGTTTCTGGGAAACTGCCCCCCTACCCCTCCCCTTAGGATGGGGGGGGGGGGAGGGGGCAGTTTCCCTGAAACGTATAATGTTGTTTGATATCTTGTTCGTAAATCTCCGGGAGCATTTTGTGTATGAGTAAAGATACTAAGTAAATATAATGACTTAAGCACAGAATTGACCAAAACAGCAATATCCTGGTGACATAGCTCCTTTGAAGTCTTAAATGTTTTAAAAAAATCCTAAATTTCATTTTGTTAAGTACTGCCGTAAGAAAAGAAAGAAACCAAGCATGGAGAAAATGGACAGCAGGTTGATATTGTAGTAAAATTACACATTCCATGTTCGTCTTCATTTCTCTCCAATCCTGTCCCTTCCAGTGTAAGTCTGACATCGTAGTGGTGTTTTTTTTTTTAACCTCACAGGTCTCAGTTGGCGGTTTGGTTTGACAGAGACGATCTGCCCGCTGAAATAACAGGGTATGAAAGAAATATCAGGTCACTCGGACATGGGAGGCAGCGTGGCCGAGTGGTTAGAGCGCTGGACTCGTAATTCGGAGGCCCGGAGTTCAAGTCCCGCCCTGACCACTAGCTGGATTTGTTCACGAGTTAAGATCCTCGGCCACGTTTGTAAATAGCCAGCTGGTTTGCCTTCGGCCAGTAGATTATTTGTTTTTGGTAGTTGCTCGGAGCCACTAGCATTAGTGCTATAAATACTGCCGAGGGTAAATAACGGAATAATAATAATAATAATAATTATTATTATTATTATTATTATTAGTAGTAGTAGTAGTAGTAGTAGTAGTAGTAGTAGTAGTAGTAGTAGTAGTAGTAGTAGTAGTAGTAGTAGTAGTACAAATGTTTCTTGTCTTCAGTTTTCTCTTGTTTGCAACCTCATCCCTAGAGCCCGCTCCTCCCATTTAAAAAAAAAAACCCTGGGGACGAGGTTTTCTTGTTAGGTACATTTTGTGCACCTTGCCGGCAGAGCCTTTCTTTTACTTACTCGATTTTGGCGCAGTCGAGAAAGACTCCGCATGAATCAAGTTAGATCTTTGTTGAGCATGCGCTGTATGTTGCTTGGATATGGTTTGGAACCCAGACCTAATAGCCTCGCACTTGCCACAGCGGGTTCGTTTATGACCAAATTCAATCTTGAAAGCAGGGACCAACTTACAAAAAAGAAGGACCGGATCCTAATAAAGGATCTAATCAGCTATAATTGGAAATATAGAAACAAAAGAAGCAAGGCTAACTTTACAGTCGGGAATAATATATTTCTTTTGCCAATATTTCGGAAGGCAAGGCCTTCCTTCTTCCGGGTCTTACGTGCAATGATAAAAGGTTGCTTGCACTCGAAAAAAATCAATTTGACGAGAGAAAACAAGATTGACCAGTCAAGACGTTCGGGCTGCGGCGAACTCAGCGGTTTGACGTGACTCAGACAGAGCCTCCTTTTTTCCTTATCTCTCAAGTAGACAAAAGCTGGGAAGCTCTGCTCGCAGGGTGCATTCTGGGTGACATAGCTAAAAAAGCTCCTCTTTTCTGATTGCAGATCCGATAAATATAATGCTGATAACATGCTAGGCACCATCTTGCCGCGAGTTATCACTGCTGGGACGGTAACAAGAAGAGCAGTGGAACCGACATGGCTGACTGCTAGTAACCCCAGGGTAAGTCGCAAAGAATTTTATCAAACAAGAATTTAGGAGTAAGGATATGTTTACACTACACTGGATAGCTTTTTGAGTGGAAACAAAATATTAGAACGATTTTCGTATGACCTTAAAAAATGGTTTCGGTAAGTTTTCGTTATTTGTTTTAACAGCCAATGGATGAAAAGATCAAAACATGGACTCTTTGTTTCCCCCCAAAGAAAACCCTAATATGGAGAGGGTATTGTTTGATTGGCCAATCGTGTTGCAGTATGACGTCAAAGCGAAGTATCGACTGATTTCTAGAAAGTTCTCGGGCATGGAGTTTTTTCACCCGAGAGTTCGCTTAACCAATTAAAAGCCACCCGCGTTTGTATCCGTTCGACAAGCCAATCAAATCGCTCTATTTCCGTTCGTTTTTTGTTTCTGTTTTGTTCGCGCGTTTTCATTCCAAGGTCATACGAAAATCGGTCTATCCGGTCTAGTATGACCAGCAGCGGCACGGGACTGGAGCAAGTCGTTCACACACATCGAACATCGCGCCGTAGCAATTGGGGCGAGAGGGTTTAGTGCGCTAAATTCCCAGTCCTCACTCTTTTTCTCCCGGCTCGGTGGGTTCCAGTCCTCGCTCCTACTTATTCACTTCCGCTGCGTTCGGAATAACTGTTCACTCGCCGCTTAAGTGTGGCACAGAGCCTGTCCGATATAGGACACTCCACTTTAGAGATCGGTGCGTTGTAGCTTCGCTCCGTCGAAGAAAGTGGAACAATAGTGTAAGTTATTTTACGTGCCTCTTCTCAGTCTTTAATGATAGACTTACACTAACCAGGCGCTGTGACAGTAGTCGTTGCATCGGTTCATGTGAAATATACATGCGGGGTACTCTTTTGATTGTAACTAGAATGGATACCCCAAAATCAGATTGTCAGCTTTACTCAAAATACGTGATAGTAGCCTTATAACTTAAGGTTGAACCCACACCATTTGATGTGTAATCCATATCTGCATCCACTACACCATCAAGGGCTAACCGCCGACACTGGTTAATTTAACGTACTTTACGTGGGGTTGATCACTACATTATTGAAAGCTAACCGTTCTTAAACGAGTGCTTAACCCTCAACTCTTTCCTTGCACAACTGTCTCCTACTCTGATTTCTCCAATTTTCTAAAAAATCTGCCCAGGCAATTAACTTGCATAAAATGGTTCTCTACGTGGAGTATAGCGTTGTGTAATAAACATAAGGTGACCAACCTTACTCTTTCATCGGTTTTCGCCTTCAGGAGGATCGTGTGGGGTCTGAGTTAAAGGCTATGGTGCGGGCTCCTCCTGGGTACTGTTTAGTAGGGGCTGATGTGGACAGTCAAGAACTGTGGATTGCTGCCATATTAGGAGATGCGCATTTCGCTGGGATTCATGGTAAGTGGGTTATAAAAAATATATTCCAAACGTTGAAGAGAAAAGTGATTTTAACAGACCCAATTAACACTTTAAGCCCCAATGGTGATCAACACCAATTTTCTCCTAACGATATCCGTACCTTGTCAAGAGATAAGGTTACGAGAATTAATGAAGTGATCACTAAAGGGAAGATGCTTTGATCTTTTATCAAATTCTCTCAACTCATTCTTTAAAGAAATGTATAGAGATCAGTTTGGAGAATTTGTATGTGGATATTGGGGGTTAAAGGGTTAAAAGGCTGGGTTTGACCAGCGGTTACATTGGTAAAGGGAGCTTAAGTAAGGACATTTTAAAGAGATCAACCGGAAGTGGACGTTTTGTGTTTTTGGACAGCGATTTTGCCCAAATTTTCGGGCGAATCGTCTCTAGACGAGCAAAGACACTTAGCCGCAATACAAATTTGGTAGCGACAAGGCATATTAAAATAATACAGGGCCCATCCCGGTTGACGTGCGCCGTCCACAAGCGTTTACTCGCAAAGGAAGAGGAACAGAATTTTCGTTTCTACTTCCCTCGCTAGCTCGTACTTCCATGCGTGAAACCAGCATAAAACGTGGGCTGAACAGCACTCGAACTCGCTATCCGGTAGTAATAACTGACTTCGTAAACTTGGCATGTTTGATTTAGTTTGTGATTCATTATTTTAGTGGAAGGCCTGTAAACTAGCTGAATCGGTTACAAAGTTTATAAGCAAAGTATTTACATTGTAACTAAGATGAATTAAATACCCTGTTTGGGCGGATTTTCGCAGGTAGCACAGCGTTCGGGTGGATGACGCTGCAAGGTAAGAAGTCAGAAGGAACAGATCTGCACAGCAAAACTGCCGAAACTATTGGAATAAGTCGAGATCATGCTAAGGTGAGATGTTAGTCGAGGTGAGATGGAATATACGGCCATGTTTTCCGTCGGAAAAAAGAAAACAAAAATAACCCTCCAAAAACTGCGCGTGTGATTGATTTTTCAGAAGATCAGTGGTAGTGCCAGTTCAGTGGCTTTGACAACGTGAAAGTTCCCACATAAACGATGCTCGTGTTCCAGAACTATTAGTATGAAATGTTGCTGGACTTTTACAAAATTTTTCGTGATGCTTTTAAGTTCCTATTGTGATTACTTTGGTCGCTTAGTATTTGTCGCTTATGACTCAGTCAAAAAAGGTTTTAACTAGTATTGTGAGTGAAGTCAGCCTCAGGCGTCTCCTCCTCCCCCCCCCCCCCCCCCCCACCCCCCCCCCCACCACCCCAACTCCACCACACAGCGCACCCAGACAGCCACGGACACCACCCGCCCGCCCACCTCGCCCACTACCCCCCGCCCACCCCCCGCATTTTTTCGTGTATTTTATGATTTTTGTGGTTGTCATTGTATATTGCATATATATACAATTAGTATATCATAGTTTTTATACTAAATGCCCTACAAAAAAAGTATATATACATTTTGCTTAAAATCTCCACCCCCAGCAGTGACCCCCCCCCCCCCCCCCCCCCCACCCCCCACCAAACCACCGTCAGGAGAGAAAGCGGACTACAGTTAAAAGAAGTCTCCCTCTCTTCCCCCACCCCCCTCCCCCCCCCCCACTCACCCACCCGTGGATTAAGGGGTGACACGGCTGACATTTCACACTGGTTCCTTTGCGAACGTCTTACGTCTGTACAGGCTTCCCAAGGCTGAGCGATTGCGAGCGACTGGGAATGACACAGAACAAACAGCAAACATAACAATCGTTCCTTTTATTTTTTTTTAGATTTTCAACTATGGTCGTATTTATGGCGCGGGGCAAAAATATGCTGAGAAGTTGCTTCTTCAGTTCAACCATCGTCTGACAGAAAGCGAAGCAAAGCAGAAGGCGGAAACTCTGTACGCAAACACCAAAGGAGTTGCCAAGTATGTTATTTCTTTTGTGTAAACTGGGGCTTATTTAGAGGCTATGACTGTCTGTCATTTTAGTCACATTCACGCATGTCCTAATTCGGCGTTCGTTTCCCCTCCATCACAAAAAAATAAATTGAGAAATAAATAGTAATAATGATAATTGATGGAAACTTTATTTGTGCTTTTAATGTACAATTGTAAATCTCGCTACGCATAGGCAATTTACTATTGACTGCTTGAGATTGAATTGTATAAAAAAAAAAAGGCTGGGCTACCCCAATTCCTATTTCTACAACAAGAGATGTAATATGATGTAATAATAATAATGATAAATAAATAATTCTTTAATTTACCCTCGAAAGTATTATAGCGCAAAGGCTTGTGGGGACGAGCAAACAACGGAAACAAATAATTGTTTGATCATTCGATCACCAGGTTTGTTTTTTAATGAATATATTCGGGAAGCCAAGCGATCTGCCATTTTTACGCAAGAGCGATCGCAAGGAGGAGAAAAGCGTGGTTTCATTTACGCATGAGCAGTGTATTATTTGCAGCCAAACACAGTTGGATAACACTGCGCATTGGCAGACCGTTATTTGGAGGCAGTTATTTGCAGGTCACATGGTGGGCTGTCGGCCAATGAAAAGGAAGAAAAATTTGCATCGAACGATAATTCAAATAAACACAACAAGGTTAATAATCAGTCCAACCGGCCCAATGTAAACCAGTTGACTATTTACATGCTTGATCGTGAATTTGAACTTGGGCTCACTACCAAGAACAAATCCAGCTACCGGAGTCGAGGGGGGGGGGAGGGGTACTTGAACTCGGGGTCTCCGAAGTACAAGTCCAGCCATCTAACCGCTCGGCCACGCCGCCTCCCGTCACGTTCCTTGGAAGTCAGAAATCCCTGCCTGTTACGCCCTTATGAGAGTTGTTCAGTCGTCTAATATTCATCTACATCGCCATAATAAAATGAAAAGTGAAGTCACTACAAAATAGAACCACAAAAGTGATGAATGTTTATCTTAAAAAAATTGGGTGAATCATTTTTTGGTGATAGGCACTGTAAACAAAAGCAACCTGGTGCCTAAGGCGTTTTTTAATGGCGCCGCTGAAAGGAATCCTTCAGAAGAGGCCCCAGAGATATGGAGGAATTTTGGCCGGTTTACTTGCTGAGTTATTATCTCCCTCTCAGTCGACAAGGGTTTTAAAGAGCGGAAAAACTAACTACGTGAATGTCAATAGGACTGCCAATATGGCAACCAGTGTGCCTGCCAATGTGGTTGCTAAGTGGCTGCCAGTGTAAGTGTTAACCGCTTGGTCAGCGGCAACGTTTTCAGTAAGAAACACGACTTTTCTTTGTTAGAAAAATCAAATGATCCCAAACCGGAAAAAAACTGGAAGAAAACACGTTTCTCTCTCAGAAAAATCGAACGACATTAAAAAACAACAACAACAACAACAGCAGCAACCGCTTAGGACTAAAAATATAAAAACCGCAAATGTCAAGAGCAAAAAGTCGAAAAATTGATTTCAAAAATGGTTAAATTCTCAGAAATGAAATCTTTAATGACACCCTTATTTTATTACAGTGGAAATTCACTTGATGTGTCTGAGCGACTTATATGGTCGAATTGACAGTGCACAATTCATGATGGCTACAAAGACTATACTATAGGCAGAGTACCCTGTCCCTTCTCCGCCGTCAAAGAAAAAGAATGGTTTGGAAAATGAGCAGAATTAAAAAATAAGTTTTTTCAAGGCGTTCAGTGGACTCAGTTCGCGTCTTATTAAAAAAAAAGTGAAAGAAAGAAAGAAAAAGCAGACACCGCTATACGTAGCACTGCATTTTAACCTTTTCACTCCTAGAACAATTTATGAAAGATCTGAAGGTGGAAATGATCCCCGCAGTTGAATAAACGACCTAAGCGGTTGAAAAAAAAAAAAAACCTGAAAAATTCAGGCTTGACCGGGAATCAAACGCTGACCTTTGCGATGACCGCACGCAACGCTCTAGATCCATTGAGCTCATCAAGCCAACTGGAGACCGGGCCACTGTGAGGTAGTAATATACCCAGTGGTGGAAATGACATGAATGAAAATAGATGGAATGACTCATACTTTGAGTTGCGGATAAAGAAATAAAAGTGGAAATGATCCTCGCAGTTGAATGAACAACCAAAGCGGTTGTAAAATATGAGTTATTTCATATATTTCAATTTATGAAAGATTATCCATCACTCTAATTTCAAAATTTCTCTAGCAGCACATTTGCGTAATGTATGTCGTAGCATTTTACAAAGAGAAATTTGATTATTTTTGTGAATCCTTTCCTTGGGTCAATACTGTGGTTCACAAAAGGCTAATTTACGGCGCGATCAGAACTATTGATAGGAGATTCCATTTACGAATAAAGGTGGTAAAACGCCCACCTGTAGTTTTGAACAACTGAATAAATGGCTGGTTATTTTTACTTTTATTTTCTCTACTTTACAGCCACATTCATACAAAATCATTTGTACAAACACACTGCCTGGCCCTGTTTTAAAGATTTGTTGTAAGTGGAAATTCACGAATGGAAAGTTAGCGAGAAATTTCATCGATGTTGCGTTGAAGGTGGATAAATCTCGTCGGCTGCGGCAAACGCGGTAATGGTGGGAAAAATGTTTCAGGCAACATTCGTTGGGGATTGGCACCTAATTCTCTCATAAGAAAAACTTTCTTCAATAGAACGTAGCTTCAGGTTCAAGATGCCCTCTCGTGTGTGTTTCATCAAATTCGCTTGGTCCCAAATTTCCAACAAGACAGTCAGAAATTTAAACACGGTTGGCGTTGTTAATTTATTTTTTTCGCTTTTGTTCGCAATATGCTGTTCAGAAACAGTGCAAGGTATAAAGCAAACGTAGTTGTTATAAACATGCAAATTTCAAGAGCAGACTTAAAAGAAAGCTTATAGAACGTAAAGGATGCCGCCTGTATGAAGAGTGTATTAATGGCAAAAAAAGCACTTCCTACCTTGCAAGTCGGGTAAAATCCAATATAAGCTGCGACGCCGCGGCGTTTTAGGCTGCCAGCGAGATGCATAAAAAGTAAGCGGTGAGTTTCAGTTCTAACACGAGCTCTGCTGGTTGCGAGGTTTACCTTCTGTTTGGCAAAAGGCTAGAACACCCTTCTTCGTCGGGCGTAGTTTTCCGCCCAAATCTTTTTCTAAAAATAACGAGTTTACTGAGCAGCGGAAAGTCCGATATCGTAAGACGAGAAGCCATGAATTTCAGTTCTACCACAAGCCCTCCTGGTTGCGAGGCTGACCTTGTATTCGGCAAAAGACTACAACACCCTTCCTCCTTGAGCGTAGCTTTTTTGATCTTCCTCATCATATTTAACATCATCACCTTTCCAATCACCGCAGTTTTGAACGCGCTGGTGATGATCTCTGTTAAGGCCAAATCACGACTAAGAGCACACAAGTCCAACATTTTACTGGCGTTCCTGGCTTTGACAGACTTTACAATCGGGATTCTAGTTCAACCTACCTTCGCGGCGGTGTTAATCATGTTGTTACTTGACGAGCCTCGTGGATATTGTCTTCTGCAGGTTCTTAGATTTGCCAATTCTGTCGTGGTTGTTTCCTCGCTCTTCCACTTGGTTTTGTTAAGCGGGGAGCGGTACATAGCCATGAAGAACCCTTTCTATTACGTTACCCTGGTCACCGACGGTCGCTTGCTTGTTGCTAGTGCATTAGCGTGGTTCCTATCCGTATTTCAGACAGTGCTTCTGTTTCTCATGAGCAAAACTATGTTTTTGCGGGGTACAACAATTTCCGTGAGTGTATCTCTTGCGGTGATCTTTTTCTGCCATGTCACAGTTTGCTTTGAAACTCGTCGACACGAAAAACAACTTGCTGCTCAGCAAACCACTCCAGAGGCAAGGGCAGAATTTGAGAAAAATAAGAAGGCTGTTAAACTAACGTCCATAATCCTTGCCGCATTATTATTGTGTTTTATACCCGGAAACGTTGCTAACATTGTTGTATCAAGGTTTGGTGGTCATGTAACTGATGAGATAATTTTTCTGTTTGCCTTTCTCTCTCTTTCGTTAAGTTTCTTAAACTCGTCGCTTAACCCTATTATTTACGTGTTAAAAATGAAGCAGTTTAGGGTCGCGTTTATTGAGTTATTGTTCAGAACTGTAAACACTGCAGCCGCTGAAGAAACTGAGATACGATTTTTTGGAGTACCTAATGCTGTAGGTAGAGTCAACAGAGAAAAGACTGAACGAGGTCAAAATGAACAAGCTCAACAAGATGTGAGTGAAGAAAACCTGTAAGCATTATCAACAGCAGTTGTGTCGAACTAATTATTATGATGACGCTCTTTTAGTTTCTGAAACTGTAAAATTACAGAATAAGGCTGCTCGCGTAATCTTAATTAGGCTTTCCAGTCAATGGAGTTTTGGCGTGCTTCTTGTCCACTTCTTATTCCGTTCTGTTACTCTTTAGCGAACCTGTGTTATTGGTTAGGGATTTGACCTTTTTTCAAAAATTTGCAATCAAATTCCCTACCCACGGGCAAATCATTCCAGTCAAATGCAACCAAATTTCCCCACCACAGGCTGCACATTGCTGTCAATCCCAAGGGAGAACCTAAGAAAGGCGCAATAAAAATATCTCCAAATAAAACTCTGCAATCTTTTATAAACGTTGCTGCATCACCAAAGATACATGTTCCTGTTACAGCTGCAATTATACGTTTTAACCATAATCCGTGTTACACTGCGTACAATACATAAACCTTTAGGAGAAAGTCCACATTTTGTAAGTTTAAATATACCGTTCTTAGTAAAGGGTACAAAGAAAGTCAGTTTTATAAGTTTACAGTGATTGTAGCGAATGAGCCATACACTAATCAATTGTACTTACAAAAATCGACTTGGTTTCTCTTTACTTCCGTTTACTTTGATACCACAGTATTTTAAGAGGTTAAATTGATCAAAAACACGCTAAAACAAACGAAATTTGAAGACAAAACAGTGAAATCCACTCAGCCTTCGCTTGTTCTCATTGGCCTCCATGACTTCCTGATCTTTTCAAACCGTACGGCGCATGCGTGAAGCGTGGAAGCGGGAAACATATGTTCGGTCTCAGTCTTTTTCGTCCGAGTCGGCATTCAAATATCTCCACGTCGGGCGAAGAAAGATTCAAATATCCCCTCCCCTGGGAGAACAAGATCAATCAAATGCCCTACTCCAGGGCCAACAAAGACAAATCCCCACCCCATGCATTAACATTAAAAAAAAAACATTAACCTAGTATTTACGTGCAAGTAAAATCTAATTGTTTTGCACAAGAGCTGTTAACGACTTCATTTAATAGTGACGAGCACGTAGAACAAACTGTAAATTAATAAAAATAGCTTCATTTTCGTCAATTTTCGGACAATATATTCTTTTTTTCCACGTCGCAAAAAGAAATCTTCCATACATGCATACATTCATACATCGCATCCGCATAGTCATCTCTTTCATCCTTTGCTCGTCCTAATTGCGCCTGATTTTAGAATTGCCCCAGATTCCCTGTTATCGTGGCGTCTATTATGCAGCCCGTTATTTCTTACGGCTTTTGCGGATATTTAGAAAATGAAAAGATTATCCAAACTTAATTACCGGCGGAAAATTAAACCAAAGTACAGTAATCCGAAAAAGCACATTCAAAGATCAGTATACAAAAATAGGAACAAAAGGTAAGAAAAAAGGGGATGGCAGATGTTTGCAAAGACAAGCACACAGTTTTCCGCCCAAATCCTTTAAGACCCAGAACGAGTTCATTGAGCAGCGGAAAATCCGATATCGTAAGACGAGAAGCCATGAATTTTAGTTCTGCCACAAGCCCTGCTGGTTGCGAGGCTGACCTTGTATTCGGCAAAAGACTACAACACCCTTCTTCCTGGGGCGTAGCTTTTCTGATCTTCCTCATCATATTTAACATCATCACCTTTCCAATCACCGCAGTTTTGAACGCGCTGGTGATGATCTCTGTTAAGGCCAAATCACGACTAAGAGCGCACAAGTCGAACATTTTACTTGCGTTCCTGGCTTTGACAGACTTTACAGTCGGGATTCTAGTTCAACCTACCTTCGCCGCCGTATTAATCATGTTGTTACTTAACGAGCCTCGTGGATATTGTGTTCTGCAAGTTCTTAGGTATGCTAATATGGTCGTGGTTTTTTCCTCGCTCTTCCACTTGGTTTTATTAAGCGGGGAGCGGTACATAGCCATGAAGCACCCTTTCTATTACGTTACCCTGGTCACCGACGGTCGCTTGCCTGTTGCTAGTTCATTGGCGTGGTTCCTATCCGTACTTCAGACAGTGCTTCTGTTTCTCTTGAGCAAAACTGTGGTTTTGCGGGGTACAACAATTTCCGTGAGTGTATCTCTTGCGGTAATCTTTTTCTGCCATGTCACAGTTTGCATTGAAACTCGTCGACACGAAAAACAACTTGCTGCTCAGCAAACCACTCCAGAGGCAAGGGAAAAATTTGAGAAAAATAAGAAGGCTGTTAAACTAACGTCCATAATCCTTGCCGCATTATTATTGTGTTTTATACCTGGAAACGTTGCTAACCTCGTTGTATCAAGGTTTGGTGGTCATGTAACTGATGAGATAATTTTTCTGTTTGCCTTTCTCTCTCTTTCGTTAAGTTTCTTAAACTCGCTGCTTAACCCAATTATTTACGCGTTAAGAATGAAGCAGTTTAGGGTCGCGTTTATCGAGTTATTGTTCAGGACTGTAAACGCTGCAGCCGCTGAAGAAATTGAGATACGATTTTTTGGAGTACCTAATGCTGCAGGTAGAGTCAACAGAGTAAAGACTGAACGAGGTCAAAATGAACAAGCTCAACAAGATGTAAGTAAAGAAGACGTGTAAGCATTAACAACAACAATTGTGTTGAACTAATTATTATGATGATGCTCCTTTAGTTTCTGAAATTGTAAAATTACACAATAAGGCTTCTCGCCTAATCTTAACTAGACTTTCCAGTTAGTAAAGCAAGGACAATAGATGTGTGTTTAAAAGCCTTCCTATTTCTCTCAAGTTCTTCTTTTTTTGCGTTTCTAATTGGCTCAAATCCCACGGCTTATTTTTCTTAACCAGCTAAGTTTGACCAAATTTGGCCTGATATCTTAGCCTGCGAATACAGGTGTCTCTCCTCGCCCCTCGCCTTAAGGGACGTCGTCGTTTACAAGGTGTCATAAGACAAGTCGTGCTGGTTGCGAAGCTGCACTAGCAAAGTTACGAAGCTGCAAAAGCTTATCAAAACAAAATCAAGAAGGACTAACTAAGAAAGGGAATGTGAAAAACAGTTACCATCATAAACTTTGATGTGTTGACTTAAAACGAAAAACACTAAACTGTTCGCCCTTCAATTCATTTGAAAATATCCTCTACGGCCATAGTTTCAATAGTTAGTGACTCAAGATTCACGCCATTTATTTATTTAAAAAAATAACTGACTACAAATCTTTTATAGGTTGTGTTTGAAAAATATATGTGATAATAAATTTGATTGCTGATGTGGGTATAATTTGTTCACATTTTGGAAATGTGTGGCAGTGTTTTACATTCGTGCTCTTTACAATGATTATCGTTATCTTAAGTGTTTTAACATTCACACGTTATCTAAAGATTTATTAGCAATTCAAGTAGAATGTGAGGCTTTTTTAGATGATAAACAAATGATTAAGGTTGATCTATCGGAAGATCAAATGATGACTTTTGTCTGCGCAATCTATGAAACATCGGCCTTTTTTTCTCGGACGTATTTTGAACTAGCTGTAGAGAATTTATTGCAGCTGCAAGAGAACAGCGTTTTCCTTTTCTAAAGTATTTAAAATAATAATAATAATAATAGTAATAATAATAATAATAATAAATAGGATAATTTATTACTGATACATCATCCAAATTGTCGTTATCACAGTGGTTGCTGTTTTCATGCTTGCTATTAGATCGAGGCGGATTCCATTTTCTTTCGTTGCTTGATGCAAATGAAAAAATTACTCGGGAAAAAACATTAACCTAGTATTTATTCGCAAGTTTTTGTACAAGAGCTGTTAACGACTTCATTTAATAGTGACGAGCACGTAGAACAAACTGTAAATTAATAAAAATAGCTTCATTTTGGTCGATTTTCGGACAATTTTTATTCTTGTTTCCACGTCGGAAAAAGAAGTCTTCCATACATGCATGCATACAGACATCGTATCCGCGTTGTCATCTCTTTCATCCTCCGCTCGTCCTAATTGCGCCTGATTTTAGAATTGCCCCAGATTCCCTGTTATCTTGGCGCATATTATGCAACCCGTTATTTCTTACGGCTTTTACGGATATTTAGAAAATGAAAAGATTATCCAAACTTAATTACCGGCGGAAAATTAAACCAAAGTAATGCGAAAATGCACATTAAAAGATCACCGTATACAAAAATATGAACAAAAGGTCAGAAAAAAAGGATGGCAGATGTTTGCAAAGACAAGCACACAGTTTTCCGCCCAAATCTTTTTCAGACCCAGAGCGAGTTCATTGAGCAGCAGAAAGTCCGATATCGTAAGACAAGAAGCCATGAATTTTAGTTCTGCCACAAGCCCTCCTGGTTGCGAGGCTGACCTTGTATTCGGCAAAAGACTACAACACCCGTCTTCCTGGGGCGTAGCTTTTCTGATCTTCCTCATCATATTTAACATCATCAGCTTTCCAGTCACCGCAGTTTTGAACGCGCTGGTGATGATCTCTGTTTTGGCCAAATCACGACTAAGAGCGCACAAGTCCAACATTTTACTAGCGTTCCTAGCTTTGACAGACTTTACAGTCGGGATTCTAGTTCAACCTGCCTTCGCCGCGGTGTTAATCATGTTGTTACTTAACGAGCCTTGTGGATATTGTGTTCTGCAGGTTCGTAGATTTGCCAATTTTGTCGTGGTTGTTTCCTCGCTCTTCCACTTGGTTTTGTTAAGCGGGGAGCGGTACATAGCCATGAAGCACCCTTTCTATTACGTTACCCTGGTCACCGACAGTCGCTTGCTTGTTGCTAGTGCATTGGCGTGGTTCCTATCCGTATTTCAGACAGTGCTTCTGTTTCTCTTGAGCAAAACTATGGTTTTGCTGGGTACAACAATTTCCATGAGTGTATCTCTTGCGGTAATCTTTTTCTGCCATGTCACAGTTTGCTTTGAAACTCGTCGACACGAAAAACAACTTGCTGCTCAGCAAACCACTCCAGAGGCAAGGGAAGAATTTGAGAAAAGTAAGAAGGCTGTTAAACTAACGTCCATGATCCTTGCCGCATTATTATTGTGTTTTATACCTGGAAACGTTGCTAACATTGTTGTAGCAAGGTTTGGTGGTCATGTAACTGATGAGATAATTTTTCTGTTTGCCTTTCTCTCTCTTTCGTTAAGTTTCTTAAACTCGTTGCTTAACCCAATTATTTACGTGTTAAAAATGAAGCAGTTTAGGGTCGCGTTTATCGAGTTATTGTTCAGAACGGAAAACAATGCAGGTAGAGTCAACAGAGTAAAGACTGAACGAGGTCAAAATGAACAAACTCAACAAGATGTGAGTGAAGAAAATTTGTAAGCATTAACAACAACAATTTCATTTTTTCATTTTCATGTCATTTCCGCAGTTCATATTTTATTTATTTTATGTATCATTAACAACAACAACTGTGTTGAGCTAATTATTATGATGATGCTCTTTTAGTTTCTGAAACTGTAAAATTGCAGAATAAGGCCGCTCTCGTAATCTTAACTAGGCTTTCCAGTCAGTGGAGGTTTGGCGTGCTTCTTGTCCATTTCTCATTCCGTTCTGTTACTCTTTAACGAACCTGTGTTTTTGCGCATCGCACGAACGACACGAACGGCAACTTGCAGCTCAGCAAGCGACACCGGAGGCAAGGGAAGAATTTGAGAGAAATGGGGAAGGCTTTTAAACTCACATCTATTGTCCTTATTTTACTGATTTTATTTGTTTTAATACCTACGAGCACTATGCCAGTCGTTCCAGTTAGTTATCTTGAATTTACTCTGGAGGCGGTGTATTTGTTTATCCCTTATCACTATGTCGCTAATTTTCTTGGAGTCGCTTTTCAACCCGATTGTTTACGCGTTGAGATTGAGGCAATTTCGGGTCGCAATTATCGAGTTATTGTACAGACGTTGAAGAAATTGAGATGCGATTTTCTGGAGTACCTAATGCTGTGGTTAGAGTTAACAGAGTAAGAGATGAACAAAACCAGGAAGGGCAAAATCAACAAAATATGAATGAGGAAAATGTCCGCTGAAATGTGTCCAACAATAGCAATCGTAACAGTAATGTTCTGCCTCAATTATGAAAAACATATGCCTTGAAGAAGAATTGAACAGTGACTTGAACTGTTTATTAAAAATGCCAATTATCAACATGGTACACGAGCATTTCAATTCATGTATTTATATTTTTAATATTCATTCTTTTTTTTTCTACGTTTCTAATTGGCTCATATCCCAGGGCCTATTTTTCTTAACCAGCTAGCTTTGACAAAATTTGGCCTGATATCATAGCCTGCGAATACTGCCCTCTATCCTCGCTCTTCGCCTTAAGGGACGTCTTCGTTTACAAGGTGTCGTAAGACAAGCCGTGCTGGTTGCGAAGGTGCACTAGCAAGGTTACGAAGCTGCAAAAGCTTATCAAAACAAAATCAAGAAGGATCAACTAAAAAAGAAAATGTGAAAAACAGTTACCATCATAACTTTGATGCATTGACTTAACACGAAAAACACTAAACTGTTCGCCCTTCAATTCGTTCGAAAATATCCTCTTCGGCCATAATCTTCAATAGTTAGTGACTCAAGATGGCATTTATCTATTTAAAAAAAATCACTGAACACAAGTCTTTTATAAGTTGTGTTTGTAAAATATATGTGAAAATAAATTTGATCAATTCGGGTATATTATTTGTTCACATTTCGGAAATGTGTGACGGTGTTTTACATTTGGGCTATTTAGAATTATTATCGTTATCTTAACATTTGCACGTAATCGAAAGATTTATTAGCCATTTAAGTAGAATGTGAGGCTTCTCTAGATGATAACCAAATGATTAAGTTTGATCTATGGGAAGATCAAATGATGACTTTTGTCTGCGCAATCTATGAAATGTCGGCCTTTTTTTAAACTAGATGAAGAGAATTTATTGCAGCTGCAAAAGAACAGCGTTTTCCTTTTCTAAAGTATTTAAAATAATAATGAATAATAATAATAATAAACAGGATAATTAATTACTGATACATCATCCAAATTGTCGTTATCACGCTGTTTCCTGTTTTCATGCTTGCTATTGGATCGAAGCGGATTCCATTTTCGTTCGTTGCTTAATGCAAATTTAAAAAAAAATTACTCGGGAAAAAACATTAACCTAGTATTTATTCGCAAGTGGAATCTAATTGTTTTGCATGAGAGCTGTTAACGAATTCATTTAACAATGACGAGCACGTAGAACAAACTGTAAATTAATAAAAATAGCTTCGTTTTCGTCGATTTTCGGACAATTTATTCTTGTTTTCCACGTCGGAAAAAGAAATCTTTCATACATGCATACATACATCGCATCCGCATAGTCATCTCTTTCATTCTTCGCTCGTCCTAATTGCGCCTGATTTTAGAATTGCCCGAGATTCCCTGTTATCGTGGCGTGTATTACGCAACCCGTTATTTCTTACGGCTTTTGCGGATATTTAGAACATGAAAAGATTATCCAAACTTAATTACCGGCGGAAAATTAAAGCAAAGTACAGTAATCCGAAAACGCACCTTCAAAGGTCATTATACAAACATATGGACAAAAGGTAACAAAACAAGGGATGGCAGATGTTTGCAAAGACAAGCACACAGTTTTCCGCCCAAATCTTTTAAGACCCAGAACGAGTTCATTGAGCAGCGGAAAGTCCGATATGGTAAGACGAGAAGCCATGAATTTTAGTTCTACCACAAGCCCTGCTGGTTGCGAGGCTGACCTTGTATTCGGCAAAAGACTACAACACCCTTCTTCCTGGGGCGTAGCTTTTCTGATCTTCCTCATCATATTTAACATCATCACCTTTCCAATCACCGCAGTTTTGAACGCGCTGGTGATGATCTCTGTTAAGGCCAAATCACGACTAAGAGCGCACAAATCCAACATTTTACTAGCGTTCATAGCTTTGACAGACTTTACAGTCGGGATTCAAGTTCAACCCACCTTCGCCGCTTGTTAATGATGTTTCTTGACGAGCCTCGTGGACATTGTGTTCTGCACGTTCTTCGGTAATTTATGTGGTTATAGTCCTGGTTAATGCTTAGCTTTCCCACCTTTTCCCACCGTGAAATTCGCCTTAACGAACAACAACCTGCAGGTCAGCAAAGAATTTGAAAGAAAAAAAGGAAATTCTTCACAGCGTTGCTTGAATTATTGCTTTTAGGTGATCGGAGTGATATAACTGTAGCCGAGAAATTTAGTGATAATGTTTTCCTCCTTTCTTATTCGGTAGATGTTTAAAATTTTTGAAGCTCTCTGCTCAATCCGAATTTTGCGATAAGATATAGGTCCTTTTGGGTCGCTTTTATTGAGTTTGTGCTTAAAACTGCAAGCTGAAGAAACAGAGTGTTGGGTTTTTTTTCCGAAGTATTGCACGATGGGGCTAGAGCTTAAGCTGAACAAAATGACGTAGGACAAATTCAAAAAGTAAAGTAAGCAACAGTGATATTCACAACTTTACTGATGTGCTAGGAACACCGAACATTTTAGTAATCTAGTGTATTTGCACTAAATACACCTCAACCATATTGTTATTTAAAGGAATCACTGTTTGCAACTTGTATTTTTTGCTTCTTGTTTGAAAATAAATCTGATTAATGCTGATGTAATTATAATTTTGCTCTCTTTTTTGGAACTGTATCATTGCAGAGTTTTATAGTTGTGAGGTGTTATTATTATTATTATTATTATTATTATTATTATTATTATTATTATTATTATTATTATTATCGTTCAGTTGTTATATCACTGTTTCGTTTTAACAGTCAAAAAGCTTAGTAAAACGTGAGGCTGAACCATAGTTAACACTCAGATATTCCCTTAAGTTGGTTTGAAATAATTATCACTGACAATAGTTGTCTTTTTCGATGTCGCCCATTCCGGATAAATTTGAACATATATTTCTTTTATATATGACATAGTATTATGTCTACTTTTTGGTAGTCTATGGTAGCATTGAACATCTTGCTGTTTGATCGTTATCGGCATTAAAATGTTTATACTACTGCATGAGAAATTACTGCAATTTGATTGGCTTAGAGCAGTGGTATTTCAGCTTATTTTGAAATACCTACATGTGAAAATTACAAACCTTTTGTGGGTAGTAGCGTAAATACCACTTGTGATATTTCAAAATTGTCTCAAATTTCACTCGCCTAACGGCTCGTGAAATTACGTATACCAATTTCGAAATATCACTCGTGGTATTTATGCCAAATATCACCACAAATCATGCTATTACCTGTACTAACATTAAAACTTAAAGTAAAAAATTATCAGCTAGTAGACTAGAATGTGAGCCTTTATTAGGGGATAAACAAATGATCGACAAAGAATAAAATTTAAATTAATAGAAACAGCTTCATTTCCTTTAATATTCGTACATTTTGGTGTTTTCCTTGCCGGTAAAGAAGCCCTAAGTAATTACTGCACTTAAGATTCCACATTGCCCTCTACTTTTTCATTGTTTGCTCTTTCTAATTGCGCCTGGTTTTAGAATTGCCCCGGCGTACCTGTTTTCTTGGCTAATGACCTCTAACGAAAGCAAATCCTAGCTTCTTTTATAGTATCTTGAGAAGTGTAGCAGATGTTTAGTAAAAAAGAAGATTTATTTATCTTTGTGGCAGCCAAAAATAAATTTATAGTTAAAATGCAAACTTAAAGATGAGTCAAAAGTAGGTTGGGTTTGATCGTCCGGGTGAACGTAGTCCTGAATAGGACTGTTATTGTTGACAGTGACTGACGTTTCGACAACCCGTGCGGTAGTCATCTTCAGAGTCAAAGTGAGTTGTAACACGTCAGTTGATGGTATTATACTCTGGTTATTGATCTGATTGGTCAATTACGTCGCGATATCATTGGTCGTCTGTCAGTTAAGCCGTGATGTTATTGGCTATGAAGACTCGTAATCAGTAGTTGGTGCGTTTCGATCCGTCTATTGTCACAGTTAAACAGACGTCTATTGTTAGTCAAATTGTCAGTTCTCCAGTCGTTCTCTCGTAGTTAGTGAGAAAAAGCTAAACAAAAGCTAAAGAAAGCCAGATGTATGAAAAGACAAATTGACCGCCCAAATCTGTTAAAAACCAGAACAAACTCAGTAAGTTGGAAATTTCGATATCGTAAGACTATAAGCCATGAATTCCAGTTCTGACACGAGCCCTACTGGTTGCGAAGCTTACCTTGTGTTCGGAAAAAGACTGCAGCACCCTTCCTCCTTGAGCGTAGCTTTTTTTATCTTTCTTATAACCGTTGACCTCCTCACCTTTCCAGTCACCGCAGTTTTGAACGCGCTTGTGATGATCTCTGTTCAGACAAAATCACGACTAAGAGCACACAAGTCCAACGTTTTACTGGCGTTCCTGGCTTTGACAGACTTTACAGTCGGGATTCTAGTTCAACCTGCCTTCGCTGCGGTGTTAATTATGTTGTTACTTAACGAGCCTCGTGGATACTGTGTTCTAAAAGTCCTTATAGGCATGTAACTGTTGTCACATGTTATTAAACATGATGAGGAAGATCAGAAAAGCTTCGCCCCAGGGCGGAAGGTGATGTAGTCTTTTGCCGAATACAAGGTCAGCCTCGCAACCAGCAGGGCTTGTGGTAGAACTGAAATTCATGGCTTCCCCGCCGTCTTGAGATATCAAACTTCCTGCTTCTCAATAAACACGTTCTGGGTTTTAAAAGATTTGGGCGGTAAACTGAGTTTTTGTCTTTGCAAACATCTGCTATCCTTTACCCTTTGTTAAGCTTTTGTACACTGATCTTTTAATATGCGTTTTCGCATTAGTATGGTTTAATTTTCGGCCGATAATTAAGTTTGGATAATTCTTTCACTTTCTAAACATCCGCTTAACGTCTTAAAAAAAACGGGTTGCACAATACAAGCTACGTCACTGCTAAGATAAGAAAAACGCTAAGGCAATTCTAAAACCAGGCGCAATTAGGACGAGCGAGAGATGAAAGAGCAAACAATACGAATACGTAAGCGTATGTAGGATTTCTTTTTCCGACGAGGAAAACAAGAATAAATTGTCCGAAAATCGACGCAAATGAAGCTATTTTTATTAATTTACAGTTTGTTCTGCGTACTCGACACAATTTTGTTGTTAACAGCTCTTGCACGAAAACAGTTACATTCCACTTGCGTAAAACTTCTAGGTTAATGTTTTTCGCTTAGTAATTTTTTGTTTGCATCAAGCAACGATAGAAAATGGAATCCGTTCGATCCTATGGCAAGCATGAAAACAGCAACCACTGTGATAACGACAATTTGGATGATGTATCAGTAATTAATTATCCTGTTTATTATTGTTATTGTAAATACTTTAGAAAAGGAAAACACTGTTCTTTTGCAGCTGCAATAAATTCTTCACATGCAGTTCACGAAGTGCCCGCCAAAAAAAAGTGCGATATTTCAAATATTCAGGACTGTCACAATAGTCGCGATTTGATTTTCCGATCGATCAAGCTTAATCACTTGTCTATTATCTAGAAAAGCTTCACATTTATATTTATCTATTTATTTATTTTATTTTTGCCACACAAAGTGTACAAGGAAAGAAAGAAAAAAATACACTACAGAACGAAAGTGGCGAGGAATCCTTAATAGAAACCACAGGGCCTATAAAAGCACTGTTACAACGTAAGGCTTCATCAATTACAACTCATCAGATGGCTACACATGCACAGCTATGACAATTAATTCCAAAAAAGAACATGGGAAGATACAGTAAACGAGTAACAACAATCAGTTTGTAAATTAATAAATACTAAAATTACGGCAAACATAGGCTATATTACAACCGACAAATATTGTAATTGGAGGACAGGTAAACTTTATCCATGATAATGAAACTATTCAATTCTTGTTGACTAATAGCTGTTAACAAAATAATTTTTCAGACTGATTTTAAAGAAAGAAGGAGAGATTGAGTTACAAATGTCATTATCTAAGGACTTGAAGTATTTAGGACCCTCTCCTGAAAGCTTGCAGAAAATTGTCTAGTGCTTCCTTTACAGAAGGGTAACTTTAAAGCAACAGCATTTCTTGTATTGTAGTTATGGGTTTGATTATTAAGAGGAAAGGTATTTCTAAACCTAATGGGTAAAAGTGAGTGTTTATAAGAAAACATAAATTTGCCTAATTCAAGAAACCGAATATCACGAAGTTTTAACATACGACGCTCCTTGTAGATGGGATCTGAAGAGGCATCAAAGGCAGATTTATTATATTTCTGATCACGAGCTTTTTTAGAGTCACATGATGACGCAGGTTTGTTTTATAAGTGGAAGCCCAGACGATGTTGCAGTAAAAGAGATAAGGATATACCATATATAGAATAGTACAAGCTTTTAAGACCAGATTTGGAAAGGATAACACTAGATTTATATATTTTTCCGATAGATTTTGAAAATTTGTTCGCCACATGTGGAATATGGACTTAGTTTCCAATTCAGATTTTCATTAAGAACAACGCCAAGAAAAACTGTTTCCTTAACTTGTTCAATGTGCTTGTTGTCAACATAAACATGTAAACATTCTAGTTGAATAGCTGATAAATCTTTAGTTTACTTGTGAACGTTAAATCAGATTATTTTATAAATTACAACTATAACCATAACCACTGCCGCCCACTTCAAAATATGGACAAATTATACTCACATTAAACAAATTATTTTCAAATACATTTTACAAACACAACTTACAACAGATTTGTAACAAGTGATTTTTTTAAATCAATAAATGCTATCTTGAGTCACTAACTATTATATATTTTCAAATGAATTGAGGAGCTGAACAGTTCAGTGTTCTAACAACATAGTTTTCGTGTTAAGTCACCACATCAAAGTTATGATGGTCACTGTTTTTCGCGCACATTTCATCCTTTTTTCAGCTAGTCCTTCTTGATTTTGTTTTCGTCAGCTTTTGCAGCTTCGCAACCAACACGGCTTGTCTCATGACACCTTGTAAAGGAAGACGTCCCTTAAGGCGAGGAGCAAGGTGAGACGGCTTTATTTGGTCAAACTTAGCTGGTTAAGAAAAATAAGCCGGGGGATTTGAGCCATTAATAAACGCAAAAATAAAATTAATGAAAAATAATTACAAATAAATGAACTGAAGTGCTTGTATACCATGTTGGTAATTGGCATTTTAAAGAGTTCAAGTCACTGTTCAATTCTTCTTCAAGGCAAATGTTTTTCATAATTAAGGCAGATTGCCGGATTACACATTTTCAACGGTCATATTTTGTTGATTTTGCTCTTCTTGATCTTGCTTATCCTTGACTCTGTTAACTCTAAGCACAGCATTAGGTACTCCAAAAAATCGCATCTCAATTTCTTCAGCGTCGACAATGTTTACAGTTCTGAACAATAACTCAATAATTGCGACCCGAAATTGTCTCAATCTCCACGCGTAAACAATCGGGTTGAGAAGCGAGTCCAAGAAAACTAGCGACATAGTAAAGGAGAAAAACAAATACACCGCCTCTGGAGTGAATTCACGGTAATTAAGTAGAACAACTGGCAAAGTGCCCGGTATTAAAACAAATAAAATCAGTAAAACAAGGATTATAGATGTGAGTTTAAAAGCCTTTCTATTTCTCTCAAATTCTTCCCTTGCCTCCGGTGTCGCTTGAGCTGCAAGTTGCCGTTCGTGTCGACGGGTTTCACCAAAAACAGTAAGATGGCAAAAAGAAATAATGGCAAACGATAGAAGACTGGATATGCCTACGCAGCGCATATACACAGGTTTGCTTACGAGTAAAATAATAGAATGAGAAATGGACAAGAACCACGCCATTGCGCTGGTACAAAGCAAGCGTCCTTCGGTGACGAAGGAAAGGTAAGAAAAAGGATGCTTCATGGCAATGTACCGCTCCCCTGTTAGCAAAACCAAGTGAAAAAGCGAAGCAATGACGACAACAGTCACATGCCTAAGAACTTTCAGAACACAGTATCCACGAGGCTCGTTAAGTAACAACATAATTAACACCGCGGCGAAGGTAGGTTGAACTAGAATCCCGACTGTAAAGTCTGTCAAAGCCAGGAACGCCAGTAAAACGTTGGACTTGTGCGCTCTTAGTCGTGATTTTGTCTGAACAGAGATCATCACAAGCGCGTTCAAAACTGCGGTGACTGGAAAGGTGAGGAGGTTAACGATTATAAGAAAGATAAAACAAGCTACGCTCAAGGAGGAAGGGTGCTGCAGTCTTTTTCCGAACACAAGGTCAGCTTCGCAACCAGTAGGGCTCGTGTAAGAACTGGAATTCATGGCCTATAGTCTTACGATATCGAAATTTCCAACTTACTGAGTTTGTTCTGGTTTTTAACAGATTCATACGTCTGGCTTTCTTTAGCTTTTGTTTAGCTTTTTCTCACTAACTACGAGAGAACGACTGGAGAACTGACAATTTGACTAACAATAGACGACTGTTTAACTGTGACAATAGACGGATCGAAACGCACCTGTTACTGATTACGAGTCTTCATAGCCAATAACATCACGGCTTAACTGACAGACGACCAATGACATCGCGACGTAATTGACCAATCAGATCAATAACCAGAGTATAATACCATCAACTGACGTGATACAACTCACTTTGACTCTGAAGATGACTACCGCACGGGTTGTCGAAACGTCAGTCACTGTCAACAACAACAGTCCTATTCAGGACTACGTTCACCCGGACGATCAAACCCAACCCACTTTTGACTCATCTTTAAGTTTGCATTTTAAATATAAATTTATTTTTGGCTGCCAAAATGATTGTCATAGCTGTGCATGTGTAGCCATCTGATGAGTTGTAATTGATGAAGCCTTACGTTGTAACAGTGCTTTTATAGGCCCTGTGGTTTTTATTAAGGATTCCTCGCCACTTTCGTTCTGTA